AATTAATAATGTTTTTAGGATTGGCATTTGGATGGCATCGATTATCTTCACGAATAGATGATTCAGGTGAGATTCTCAAAACGGCTAGACAATCACCGGCTGCTTTATTTGCATATACATATATATTTTTTAATTAAAGTGGACTCCAGCGTTGTGCGTACAATTGATGTTTTAGTGATAATTTCTCTTATTCAGATTCACCACCGTTCAGAACGTCTTGATAAAATGCAACCATGATTGTCATGATTATTGGATGCAATCAGTTAAAACGGTGTTACTCAGATCAATGTTATATGTATAGAAAACAAACTCAACTTTTGTTTTTAATTGCGTAGACATTTGAACGAGCTTACCGCCCACCTGGTGCTAAGTGGTTACCAGAGCCCATAGCCATCTACAACGTAAATGCGCCACCCAACTTGAGATATGAGTTCTAAGGTACAACGGCTGCCCCACCCTTCAAACCGAAACGCATTACTGCTTCACGGCAGAAATAGGCAGGGCGGTGGTACCTACCTGTGCGGACTCACAAGAGGTCCTACTACAAGTAAATAATTTAAATTAAACTTCCAATATAGTCACTGACAAGACTCAGTTTCCATCACTGTTAACACACTGTTCCACAACCAATAGGTAGAACTTATGACAATTATTATTAAAATACAATAATTGAAATTAATTACGGTAAACAGATGTAATTTATACGTAGATACCTAATATTATTAGTTAGGTACGTATCGGCCGTGTTCTTATCGATCATAATTATTGGAGGCTATCGAGTTCCTACGTATTTCAATAGGAGGATTAGTACCTGACTGCGGGATTTGAGCACGACGATTCGACGAATTTATTAATTTTTTCGTGAATATTATAAACTAGCGACCCGCCCTCGCTTCGCTTCGGAAACTGTAATTTATTATTGATTTCTCCACTATGTAATGGATGTTATTATACATATAAACCTTCCTGTTCAATCACTCTATCTATTAAAAAAAACAACATCAAAATCCGTTGTGTAGTTTTAAAGATTTAAGCATACATAGGGATATCGGGACAGAGAAAGCGACTTTGTTTTATACTATGTAGTGATAATAGTGTAATAATAGTACATCGTACTAAACTACATAACGCTGCATAACTCTTATGGGTTGGACTTTCTTGACAGTAAGCATGGTTTTGAGGGTGAAAATATCTTATCTACATCCCAAAATATATAAGCCTTCAACTTCGAGGCGAGTAAATATTACCAGCTGCAAAAACCTTCATACGTCAACTTTCATGGTGAAACGAATGGTCCTGACATTGGGACTCGTGTGTTTCAGTGGATAATTGACTGCTAAAAGCATAAGAGAAAGCGTTTGGTATCCGCATGGAGCAAAAAGAAAAGGGGGTTCCAATACAAACGATTCTTCTTCTTTCTTCTTCTTCTTAGTCGAATACTTCATTGCTGAAGGTCGTGTCCCTGATCGTACAACAGAGAGTCCAGTGAGCGCAGTTATCTGATCTGACCAACGGTTTGGTGGCCGGCCGGCGGGTCTTTTCCCTTCTACCTTGCCCACCACAGTCAATTTTTCAAGGTTGTCTGGTGGCCGCCGAGCAATGTGACCAAAGTAACCAAGAACCTTCTGGTAGACAATCGTCGACAGTCTCGTTTCTATACGAAGTTGCTCGCGGACAGATTTGTTTGTTCTCTTGGTGGACCACGGTATGCGGAGCATTCTTCGGCAACACCACATCTCGAACGCTTAGATAACTATTATTTGAGACTCAGCCTTACACGTCGGGTTGTCATATCTAAAGTGATCTAAACACTAAATACTAGCTAAAGAGCTAGTCTGCTTTTCGACAACTACTAAAATACAAAAAGCGGACGGAAGAATATGTAAGCTTGTAATTTGCGTCCCTTGTGCCTTCAAACGTGAACAGATAATCACCCCCGGAGGGTGAAACCACCCTCCGACCTTTCAGCAAGGTCATGCGCCAAGTTCAATATCTACTCAAGGTTTATCCCCTGGGAATTTATAAATGTATCATGTCCTTCTAGATCTTTCTAAAGTGCTCGAACGAATTTGTAAGCTTACTGATTTAATCGGTTTATTGTTTGATTTCTTGGGCATTTAAGATAATTATATTTATATTACATATAGGTACAATGTTTCATGAGCACGTTTGTATTGTTGTGTTCTAGTGACATAACATTAATAAATTCATTAGTATTCATTGTGACTAAAATTTACTTAAAATATGTGTGTTTTTTTTTTCATTAACAATACAATAATTGTTAATCGATAAACGCATTATCAACTTTTGTTTTTAAAGATTTTATAGCCTAGTAATCAACGTTAGACAACCATCCTAAAAAAATATTCTAATGACACTTCCAGTGATTTGAAGTCGTCGTGGCCTAACGGATAAGACGTCCGGTGCATTCGTGTTGAGCGATGCACCGGTGTTCGAATCCCGCAGGCGGGTACCAATTTTTCTAATGAAATACGTACTCAACAAATGTTCACGATTGATTTCCACGGTGAAGGAATAACATCGTGTAATAAAAATGAAACCCGCAAAGTTATAATTTGCGTAATTACTGGTGGTAGGACCNTGTTGAGCGATGCACCGGTGTTCGAATCCCGCAGGCGGGTACCAATTTTTCTAATGAAATACGTACTCAACAAATGTTCACGATTGATTTCCACGGTGAAGGAATAACATCGTGTAATAAAAATGAAACCCGCAAAGTTATAATTTGCGTAATTACTGGTGGTAGGACCTCTTGTGAGTCCGCACGGGTAGGTACCACCACCCTACCTATTTTCTGCCATGAAGCAGTAATGAGTTTCGGTTTGAAGGGTGGGGCAGCCGTTGTAACTATAATTGAGACCTTAGAACTTATATCTCAAGATGGGTGGCGCATTTCACGGAATAGATAAATAACCTTATTTATCTATTCCGTGGCGCATTTACGTTGTAGATGTCTATGGGCTCCAGTAACCACTTAACAACAGGTGGGCTGTGAGCTCGTCCACTCATCTGAGCAATAATAAAAAAAAAAAAGATTTAGCTTAACATTATTAGCTCAATATTATTTTAACAGAGAGTACCTTGAAATCGATCGCGTAGACCGCAAGTTCAACCACAAAGTAGATACAAAATACGAAAATACTTTTAGATAATCTATTTCATGTAATGATGATAATGATACTGAAAATTTGTTATTTTTTTTAAATTCACGCTTTATTACATAATTCAAAATGACGCCCAAAATAAAACCCGTAATTAACTTAATTTAAAATAGATTTTAAAACATTTAATTCCTTCAAACACGAGACGACGAACGTGATTCAAAAACCACGTGTAATTTTCACGTGAAAAGGAACTAACTAATCTTATACACCAACTTGAAATTAAAAAGAAGAATCGCAGTAAGGGCTGCGTTTTCGTATGTTTGTGTTTGTTTGTTTAGTACATTTCTCTTAAGTTTATTTGTAAGTGTGTAAACAGATCTTTTCAACAAAACGGCTTCCTATTTCTGGATCGATTTGAAGCTATTACAAGAGTACCTCTCTGAGACTCTTTCAAAGACAGAAAGAAGTGTATTTACTAATATATTTCGAACATAAGCACGTAGGACTGAAGCATACAATTTTTTTTTTCAAACAAATGTTTGATGTTGTGTTTGGGATTATTATTCTGTTTGGTTTAGAGACCTGTCTCTATTCTTATTTTTTTATTACCACTATCAGGATTAGCCACCAAAATGACTGAAAAGAATCTGGCCGAATTTCACTGATAAGTAGAAAATTTAACAAAAATGGCCCCTATTTATCCTAAAAATATTAAGGGTTCTACAAATTGAAATTATGTTAATTTTGTAATTTAGCGTCGATTTTTCTTTATTAATCTGAAGTCCGAGTAGATTAGACAACCAATCCACATTTCAGAAAATAGCCTAAATTCATTCACATCTTTGCGAAGCCAAATAAAACAACACTGTCCGCACGTGACAAATGAAATATTTTATTGTCACCAAAGAACGCTCACTCGTTGCCACAAATTACGCTTCGCGTGGTCGCATTAACGTGTTTGCGTATTTTGCACGTTTTACAGATACGCCATACACACACACTACACGTGTAAGCATTAGCGTCCGATACAATCTCGCATCTTACTTAATTTAACACGTTGGAAGCCATGCGACTCACCGGTGGGCCTAGCGTACTGTATATACCATTAGGGTCAAGCCAAAATCAGGGAATCAGTAATTTTCTTTAACTTGAGAGAATCCTTCTAAAATTTATAAAACGCGATAACTTGCACGGCAAATAAAAATTAGCGACTTTTACCGTCTGGCTTTTAAGATATTTTAAAAGGCTATAATCTTGATACGTTGAAACCCTCACGTGGATCACGGGTGAGTACCGTGGCCTGAATGAAAATACTCTATAGAGTATTTCAACGCCAGGCCAATTCAATATATTTCAACGTGTTATCTCAAAAATAAAACTACTTCAAACCAACAGAATAGTATATTACACCCCTTGGGAAGGAAAATAAGAAAAGCTTCGCCTCGGCCAACAATTACATGTGATCTGAGGTTTACTTTTTTACATTCCAAGGGCTGTATACTATTTTTTTGTCCGACAAAGGCGGAAAGCGGCAACTTTGTTTAGCGCAGCGGGACCAAAGTTGCCACTTTCCGCCTGGAGGGGAAAAAACATTATTTCCGGTTTTGCAGACAATTCATATCTATATCACAAAAGTATTATACCTTGTTACCAAGTTGCAGTTCCAAGTTACCTTCACAAATATGGATTTAGCTACACTGCTTAAGATCAGATTATTTCTGGCTGTCAAACATAAAAAACAAAATAGGTTTCAATTTGTTTAATGGATAGAAAAAGTCATAGAAAGTTTTAGCTGACAGATTACAGTTAGTAGTTCACTGACGATAGCTAATCTGTATGTTCCAAGATGTTCTTGAGATGATCACACATGTCTAATCATTTATTTTTAGATTTTTTTCCACTCTGACAACGCTCACAGGTCTTGCAAGAAGGAGGAGCTGGACACTTGCATGAGTGGATGCAGTATTCATCACCCACAGCATAACATCTGCCGAGGTTCAGCATATCCTCTAGGTCGCACCTGTTTAATAAATGCATTTAACGAATCCTTATGACATTTAGACTCAACACACTTTGACAAATTCTATTTGAAAACACTAGTGAAAATAAAAATTGAAAGAATCAGAATTACCTATTTAATTTTTCAATGCCATTAAATAGTAGGGTTAATCTATGACGATTTTATTACTTAGGCAAACTGTTAATTAAGTACATTGATGTAGCATATTTTCATTCCAGTTTATCATGTAAGATTCTCTGTCTTAAACACTGACTCAAAAGTTCGTTGGTCATCATCAGCCTGTATCTCTCCACTGCTGGATGTAGGGATTTCCCACAGTCCGCCATAATGCGATCCTCCGCCTTCCGTATCTAATCTTTCCCAGCATATCGCCGCAAGTCACCGGTCCAACGGGCAAAGAGACGCCCAACGCTGTGATTACGGGTACGTGGTCCCAAGTCCAGAACACGTCTGTGTGTGTAAGGGGTGGCAATGGAATCACAGCTACTCAAAAGCCAACCTCACCTACCCGTGGTGCACCCTGCTAGCTAACGGACGAGGTCCTGACGACCGACCGATGGTGGTATAACCATCCACAATAAGCTATGTATCTAAATAAAAACACATAAGGACATGGGCAGCAGCATGCCCTGAGGAAAGGACATAGTACTGCGGCTTCCAACCCGCCTGCCAGGCGTAGTGACTACTGGCATAACCCTCCCAATTGACAAAGTACATTGGTCATATCCAAATAAATGTTTACTGCCTCAACTTTGACGTCATAAAATTTGAATATGTGTGAAGTCATACTTGCTGTCTTCCAATAGTTTAGTTTCAGCTTCATTCAATTGCGGCACCACGTATTCCACAATGCCGCCTTTCCCTATTGTGACTGGTGTCGCGCAAACAGCCATATTGTAACATTTCCCGGGATCACGTTGTTCCACTAAAGCACTATCGATAAATGTCGGCTTTTGGAAAAGACCTAGCACAAAACAGACAACAAGCTTGTGAAAGAATTGCACACGAACAAATATTTCTGTTGCGTTTTTAAACTTAACAACAATAATTGATGAAAAACTTTTTATACTCTGTGGTACTCTAATTAGGCAGAGGATTATCTGTGCCCCCGAAGTGCCAAAGCTGTTGAGCCATAGATAGTAGACTTAATATTTGAGATAATGAGCTACGGTAGCTACTTACCACAATGCTCCTATGCCTACAAAGGTAGGTAACAAAAAATCTAGAATAATTCTAATTGCAGAGCAGTGCACTAATTCTACATGATACTTCTTTAATAGCCCTCAGTAGAAAAAAAAGAATACCAAACCTTTCATAATATTAACGACAAATCGTGCAGTAGAAAACCCAATGGAAAGGTGTCCTTGTCCGTTGTTGCTTTTTACTTTGCAGATAATATCATCAGCTTCCCGTATGAGACGCGTGAGACACTCCACTTGCGACTGATAAACAGAATAGTAGGTATAGAGTACATTAAATTATTACGAGATGTCCTTTAAAACAAAGAACTATTTCTTATAATATAATAGCCGTAAAAAATATTGGGAAATTTTCATTTAGGTCACAGAGATGTGGAAATAAATTGAATGTAGGTTAGTAACGTGAAATTATATTATACTAGCTTTACCCGTCCGCTTCGCTGACCATTTAAAATTAACATTATTATTTCTCACCCCCACAAAGATTCCCATCATTAACGCCCCCGCAACTGGTGTAGGGAGTCCAACGCTCGTATATATATTAGCCTATCCATTAAGTACATGTATTTTCTACATGGATACCAAGTTTCAAGTCAATCGGATGCATGGTTCAGTAGTTATAACGGAACATCCGTAAAAACCACTGTAGATTTATATATTAGTATAGATTAGTGTAGATATTGATTACAGACAATGTGATTTTAGTACACACAAACATATCTGTCTAATTTAATGGTTTAAGTGAAATTGTTACGTAATATTTCGTTTTGTAAATATAAACGATCGAGTCGTCGTATTTATCACAGAATAGAACATTAATTATAATCTATTCCGTGGCATTTACTAATCCTCTCTACAACCAGTCATTATTATCTTCTTTCGAATGAACGGAAGTGGATCTTAAAATTGAGGTGAAAATTTACAGACCCGTCAAGAACCGATGACAATACAATCATTTTATAACTTCGCTCTAATACCCTGATCGGTATTAACAGGATAAAAAAAGAAGAGATTAATTGTTAACTTCATTTTTCTATTTCATCGTTTTTTGTTGTTTTAAATATACTTTTAATATTATTTACAACAGTTATCTTTCTAATATCATTTGATCAGGCAGTATATACACTAGATGAGGCAGTGTACACGTATCTGAAACAGCTGTTAATTGTTCAAATATATGAAAGACCCCCTAACCCTGGGAACATTGCCAGCTTTACCAGCGGAGAACACGGGAACTCGAGTACAGCGTCCGGTGCCGCAGACGACCGGCGTAGTGCGCGCAGCGGGGTCAGTGCCCGTCATCGCGCTAAACAGCTGATTCGCTCGCATCGCGTTTACCGAGTTCACACCGAGAACGCGTCTCTTATTGTAAACTCCCGCCATTTTCAAGGTCTACGAGAAAAGGCATCATTTAGATATTCCTGTACGCCATGTTCAAATGAGAATTAGACAGAAACAAAGGACATACAAGACAAAAATAAACCCTATTTTTTAATTATAAACTGTTCGCATATAAACTGCACTGCATGTATAGTATGTGATTGACGTAATATAGACAACGTGATGTTGCGTTACATAAATTCCATACAATTTTGTACTTTCTGCAACCGTTAATGTTAGTATATAAAAATATAATATTGTTTATAGCCAAGGTGGATGGTGAAGTTTACCCTTTTAATGCAACGCAAAAGAGAGTTACTTTCGGTAAAATTTCATTGAGAAGCTACTTAAATTTCTATTGCACTGAACACACAGTGTCTGAATTATTTATGAACATTGTATTTTATTTTTAGTTACCATGACTAATAACAACAAGGAAATGTTATCAAACTTTCGAATATTCTCGAAAGAGAATTAAGCAGTGCTCTTACAATAAATGCTACTGAATTTACCATCTGAAATATAATTCCTTGAGCATTTAAAACTAAACCATTTAAAATGATTACTATTACTAACATGCATACACAGTGCGAAGTTACAGTCCACGGGCGGAGTTTGTATGGCCACAATAGCTTGAGGACAGAATTGAGCAATAGCCAATGTAACTGTGCGAACATAAGCCATGTTCTGAAAAAAGAGCTCTCGGTCCTCGACGCTACAACACGGAGGGAGCACGTAGCATCCTCCACAAATTAACACCACGTCAGAGTTCTGGTAAGATTAGTTAAAAAAAAGTGTAGTTAATAATAAATATATTCTGACCCCTGATTAATTTTTTATTTTTTATTTTTTTTTATTGCCTTTGTAGGCAGACGAGCGTACGGCCCACCTGATGGTAAGTGGTTACCGTCGCCCATGGACTTCAGCAATGCCAGGAGCAGAGCCAAGCCGCTGCCTACAAATTCGTGTTTCAATTTTGCCGTAAATATATGTAATTTTGTTAAACAATTAAATTATTAAATTCTTCAGGCAATGGAGGATCATTTTAATATCTGGATATCTGAATCATTCAATTACAACTCACATTATGTTTTTATTTTATTTTTGCCGTCTAATTACGAGGGTGTAGGGGAATGATACCCCGCCCCGCTTAGCTTACTATGCATTTATAGTAATGAGCAACATTCGTTAGTCAGTCAGTGGTCAACGTGCAGCGATCCACCGCGGTCGCTGACGCGAATAAACATGTAATTATACGTAGTGTTTTATTGACCACTCTGATGAGGTTTCCGGAGGAGAACACGCAACGGACAAACAACCAACGCACACGCCGCCTCCTCCTGCATCTTCCCAATAATCCTCACAAGAGCAAACTCGTAATCATTTCATATGTATTACTAGTTTTCAATACGCGCTATAAATTGAAAAGTTTACAATGGCATCAAAAAAATTATATTCTACGCCTAAAAAGCGTACAGAATACGAAAAGTTTCATACATATAGCGCTGGTTTTAAGAAAACTCTTCCTTGAAACGCTTCGATCTCAGTGCTAGTATCAATATGTGCTAAGTCGTTGGCTATTCCCAATACGTATCGTTCGGGTACATCATCATACAAGGCAAGGGTTTTCACGACTTTCTGCTGTTTTAGGAACAAAGCTGCTATTCGACCAATGTCACTACCAGCGCCGACTATGGCTACCTGTAAGATTTTCAAGATATTTAATTGTATTGCAAACAAGGAGAATACGTTTTGAAAGAGATCGGTTTTGTGTTTGAAGAAGTGTTACAGAGCGAACTATGAAAATAAAATCGTGTTTTACGGGTCAAATGACACCGACACCAGCTCATTTTGAATAATTAAGTGTCCTATTGATTGAAATTACGTGGAAAAAATAAACAATAACAAATATAAATTTTCATTCTTATCATTGCATTACAATTAAGATTAATAGTATATTACATACACCCTTTAGGAAGGAAAATAAGATCACATGTAATCTGAGGTTTACTTTATTATTTTTCAAGGGCTGTATACTATTTTTTTGTCCGACAAAGGCGGAAAGCGGCAACTTTGTTTAGCGCAGCGGGACGAAAGTTGCCACTTTCCGCCCGGATGAGAAAAAATATTTTTTTAAACAATTTGTGCCGACTTAACCTAATAGGTGTATGGCTCTAATAAAGAATAAAAAAAAAAAAAAAAAAAGAAACAATTTGTATTGTCATATTTTATATCTATGTAGGCGTAAGGTTTTGTGGTTGAAGTTATGATCCACGCTAGCTTTTTTACTGATGGTAGGACCTCTTGTGAGTCCGCGCGGGTAGGTACTACTGCCCTGCCTATTTCTGCCGTGAAGCAGTAATGCGTTTCAGCTTGAAGGGTGGAGCAGCCGTTGTAACTATACTGAGACCTTCGAACTATTATCTCAAGGTGGGTGGCGGCATTTACGTTGTAGATGTCTATGAGCTCCAGTAACTCGTCCACCCATCTAAGCTATAAAAAAACAATCACTCGCATTCAAGTTAAAGAAATTAAAAACATATTTATCGAGGATCAAACTCGCGACATGAATTAGAGACACTTCACAACATTGGCTACAGGGTTGCGAGGACATATGTTTCATAGCTAAATCTAATATAAACTTAGAAAACTGTTTCAAGTTATATAACATATTGCTTACTTTTTGTGGTGGGAACCTTGGTACCGGACAGAACCTTTCGCAGTCTTTCTCGATCTGAGCGAGCGCTTCAGACATTACAAAGTTCTTATAGCCTGCTCTGGGTACTAGAACCGGTGTTTTGTTCGCAACTTGCAGACTGATTTGACGAAGCATGTTTTTTTATTTAGTTTTGGTTTTTAAATTTAGTCTGCACTGGGCTATTTAGAGGTTTAAGGTATGTAGGTAATTAGTGGGATTTTGTCTGAAGTATTTTCATTTTTGTTTTTTGACGGTCCGTCTGTTCTTTTGACGCAATCAGTATTCTGTGAGTGAGTTATTCAAAGAGTTTATTCTATGAAAATTAATTTTCTGCTTATTTAGAACTAAAATGAGCTTCCTCAGTGTTGCAAGTATATCAAGTTACGCAATGTCTATGTTTTGACGAAAGTTATATAATGTAATGTTTTACTCGTATCTATGTGTTTCCCCGAGAAAACAAACTCAATAATGGCTTATGGGGTAAATTGATTGATGAAATACGGAACACACGTTAACTAGCTCGCTATTGCTTTATGATTTTTAGGCCTATAATTTAATTGTAATATTGGTGTTAGCAGTTTACAAACAAATCTTTTTTTTTTTTTTCTACCTAAGCCGATGGTCTAGAATCTGCCACCGGATCGGAAACGCGACCCACTAAGAAGATCCGGCGAGGAATTCAATGGGCTGTGTCTGTGGGTTAATTTACTCGCCGAGCCCTTCGTCGCAAGCGACGGGTTCAGCAAGAACGATGACCGCCAAATCTCTCATTGCTTTCGTCTGTAAACATTTTTTTCTTTCAAAATGGAGAATGTACTAAATAAAACAAAGAATGAACAGACATCAAATTTAATAGATAAGTTTCACCTATATATTATGTTTAACATTCATTTGATTATTATTATATTGTCTATCCATACACTGGCGTATTTTATGTATAGATATAAACACGGAGGAATAAAAATGACTAGAACTATTAGAGTGAAAGCCGCCCAGACATTTCAAGCGGTGATCAACTGACGGTTTACCAAGTTTTATTTGGTTTTATAATTAATTATAGAGAACAGTTATAAAGAGAATTACGAAATTTGTATTATGTTATTAAGCTTCTCGACATAACCTATTAGCACTTGACAGCTACTGCTACTTTAGTCGGCCATATTTTGTGCAGTTTTGTTTCGCGCCAATCTTACATTCAAAATTGTCACTACTGTCATTGTCATTCCATAAAACAATTTCTTGATGAAAAAAGGAATAACTTTTATTTCCTCTTTATTCTAAAAATAAAACTAATCAAACAAGGTAGAAGGACCTCTAATAGTTATATTTCTGTTTCAATCTATAACCGTAACTTCTGAACTCGCCAGTGGATCACAGCGCTTCCTAATATCCCAATTTTATTGTAAAATAACAAATTCATGTCACTTAAATATGATTTAACGTTTATTAAAATGACGGGCTCGATTATTAAGATCTAACAATTTCAATTATTGTGCCTTTGAACAGTGTATTTTAGAGTTGACATTTTTATTATTCACCATTTAATTAAGAAGCTTTGAACAATATTTCCGAAGAATATATTGCTGATTTTTTTCTGATCTCTATAATACAAATAAATGATTTCAACTCACAATAGATGTATTTTTTTATTGTATTTATACTTATTTATAAATTCATTGTGTTTAGAAACCTAGTAATTTTAATAAACGCTAAATCGTTTCCGATCATTTTTTTAAAACAAAATTTACAATATTTATTTTCTCTTAAACAAAATAATTAAGTTAAACAATTTGTACGTGACGGATGCAGCAGTCTGTTCGTACTGACACTAACATTAAAATTAAAATAACATTTTTTTTCTGGCACACGAATAATTACAAACTAATTTCATAAAATTACCAGATCATTGTATAGATTCAATAGTAGTGATTTTTAAACGTTTCACATTTAATTATATATATTGTATTATAAATAAACTTCAGATCTTCATAGGAGGGTTGTAGGTTTTTTGATTTCTTGAAATTTGATACTGAATAATGATCTGTTAAACTTTATAGCAGGAATAAAGTAACTATTATGAAAATCGAACCGCTTGATAAACATAAAAAAAAACACAAAAACAAAGCTTTGGGAGAAATAAATTATTGTATTGTCATAATTATAGATGAATGAAATAACTAACACTAATAAACAATAAGTAGACTCCTTTTAATAAAACTTACAATGATTACATTCAAACAGACGAGAAAACGTAAGAAATTTTCACATTAGTAATAAATAAATTTAAATTTTAAGCATTTCTATATAGTCCGTTTCATATTTAAATAGAAACTTATACTTACATTAGATGCCCTGCTTAAATTTCAAATAACTGCCTTTATTTTAGAGAAAACAGGAAAATGAAAGAATAATGATAAAAAGAGATTAATAAAGAAAAAACAAAAGCATCAAACAATATCGCAGTTAGACTTATGAAACTAATATATATAATTTATTAATTTACGTAAGATAAAACAAACTACACATTCTATGACCAAGAACGGTTGAAAATAAATTCAATAGAACCTGTTAAATTAGTAGCTGTAAAAAAATTGCAGATGGAACTGAATCACAGTGCAAGAACATCACGCTTCTTCATACTGTTCGAAATAAAGCCGGATATTTCCAATCGATTTTCAAAAATGAGATAACACAAAATTAATGTTAACAATGAATATGTTTGTATGTGTTTAAATTTTTCCGAAGAAATCCTCTAAAACTACGAGTAATTTTTATTGTACAAACAACGTTGCCGCCAAATAAAGAATTGATTTTTAGATCTGACTAGCTGACCCGGCAGACTTCGTAGTGCCTCAATTGAAAAATAAAAGACCTAAACTTTTGTATAAAATAAATATGAAACAAACAAAAGGAATCCGTCCGACGCGGTACACATCAAAGAAAAAACAAAATTGTTATTTTTATTTACCTTTACCTTTTAAACGTTCTCTGGACTTCCACGAATAATTCAGGACCAAAATTAGCCAAATCGGTCCAGCCGTTCTCGAGTTTTAGCGAGACTAACGAACATGAATTCATTTTTATATATAAAAAGATATAATGGATTCTTATTTGCGGAGATGTCACCAAAGAAAAATCGTGAGTTTGACATAAGGAAATTATTCAAATTTAGTTTTCGAATATCTTGGGGCTTATACGTTTTATGCGAAGTCATACAACTATGGGGCATCAGCTTTCCATGGCTCCAAATCGTACACTACGATATTGGTTCTATCTCCATCCCAGTGGTATGGAACCTTAACGAAATTTCAGTCACGTAAAAGTGTCATCAAACCTAAGGCAAAGCGATATAGACCTTTTAACTGCCCTGTAGTTCACAGGTGCCCTAAATGACACACTGAAGTAATTGTGTCGATTTCTGTTGTTACTAAGCGCCTGGATTGTCTAACTTTGCCTTCTTTTTGAAGTGAAACTTCTATAGAATCGTTGTGATTTCAAACTCGATGAAACGTAAAAATAAGTCTATAGAGACACAGACACATAATTGTATAGGATTCAGCCGGAGAGAGAATGAGATAGAACACATTAGACGTTCTCTGTCTCCTCTTTGTGCGACTCTTCGTAGCATCCCCAGTATCGTCTACTAAACATTGTCCATATGTATGCTCCTGTGTATTGGGATAGTCAGTATATCAATATCTTATAAGTTTCACTTCTACCGTGTGTGACTTGCACACACACACACACACTTTTTTTTATTTTTAATGTACACTTTAGTCTTTAAGATCTCTGAGAAATAGATTCAGTATCTTCGTCTTTCTCACTCTACTAGATATTCTGGCGCTTTAGTAACAGAAGTCTATATTACTTCATTGCGCCACGTAGACCCCCTGACCGACACGTCAGTCAAAAGGTTAGCTAATCCTCAAAATTCCATATTTGGGTGTAATTAGAAAACTGGCAACAACTTTTGTTTAGACGGCTCCCCTCGGAAGTAAAAGGTAATATTATATTAAATAACCGACTGCAGCTTCACAATACATCTAACAACGATACTCATTCACAACCCTACAAGACTCGCACTTATATTATCATAAGATAGCTGATCACCTCTGTAAGATTCCGCATTAATAATTACCATTAATACAACTACATTCTTATTACGATATAACAAGGTACTTTTTCATTTTCAATCAATTCTACTCAAATATACAGATTAACATTAAACTTTTGCAACGTAAAACAAAACAGTAAATCCTTATATTGAATAGACAATATTTTGTGCAATCATTACAACTACCAAAAGAGAAATTTATGAACATTTATTTCTTAGGGAAACATGGTAAGTAATGTAGCTTCTGTTCATAGATAGATACACAATACTCTATACCAATTACGAAGTCCCGTGAGGCTGATGTTATCATTATGTTATTGTGTATGTGAATTAATTATATAATGATTTAGGATGATTGTGTATTTTTTAAATGATGTTTATGACCATGAACAAAAAAATATTATTATTTCAAACTATGCGAAACGTGAAGAGTTACGTTCTAAGTGTCAAAAGAAACTTCGTAATCTGAATAGAGTATAACAAAGCTCGAGGCGGAGATGTTAGTTGTGAGAAAATACACGTCAACGCATCAACATTACAATACTTCTCGGAACTTTAGATGCTCAACGTTCAAACACTAATCCATGACAACCAATTTGTTGCACTAAACGCAAACAGAACTCAGTGTTAGGATTATTAGCACACAACAGAATTCAACTAAACTCTATAACCATAACGAAACCCAGACGGCGACGTAGCTAGCTACATAATGCAAAGAATCTATTAATTAACCATCTCAATTGATTGGCTTCAGATTATTGTTCCATAAAAACTTTACATAACATTTTGGACTCATCGAATGCTTAATAAATCGCTTTACGAATCATCTCAACGTAAAGACCGGACTTGGTCGCAGTGAGCGTAATGAGAAAAATCTGATGTATATACAGGGTGTACTCAAACCTATCCCAACAACAACAACAATCGTCACATCGGTCCTGACTGACTTTGATGTCGTACACATAACAAAGTGATTATTCTAAGGAACGCATACTGCATCCGATAGATTTTCATCGGTATGCGTTAGTGATTTGTTAATATCATTGCCATGTTGACTTCGAGCGTGAGCGACACCCTGTATGTATGTTATGTACCAAATAAAACTAAAGAGTTCAACCTAATTCTATCATCAATCTTTATATTAAAATATGGAAGAAATGCGAAAAAGACAAAGCGGCTGGCTTCATGAAAGAAAAACTATTAGTCAAGGTCAAAATCAAGGAAAGCGCTCTAATGATTCGCCATTCAAGAATCACCTTCAAAATCGCATCACTCAAACACTTATCAAAAAAGTTTTTATGAAAATCTAAATGAGTTTAAGTATAAAATGCCATAACAATAGAACAGATTTACCTATGACTAATATCTAAACAACAGGGTAACATTAAAATGTTACCTGCAATATATTAACTACCCTCAAACAAGCTAAAATAAGTACATATCCCTCTATTCTCGTACAAGACATCGGACATAGACGACTTAACTCTTAAACGATCTCTCGAAGCTGCTGTCGGTCTCAGTACTAAGAAATCTATTCCTTAACATCTATTTGGCAGAGTCATACGAAATTCGAATACAATATATTTAATTCAATACTAAACCACAGCGATATATACTATATTGAAGTAGATCTTCTAACCACAAATATATACTACATTGGTTGGAGTCGATCTTCTAAAATAACGTGGAATTGTTTTTTTTTATTCATTAAATTTGTTTGAAGTACAAACTGTGTACACTAATAACATTTTCATTAAATTATTTAAAGTTCTATTTGTATTAAAACAAGCACTGATGAAAAGAAGATGTGAAATCAAATTGAATCGTAAAAAAACTGAAAATTGTCTATGTCAGACTCGTGTTTATCTCGCGAGATTGCGTAAAGATGTTATACTACCATTTCAAAACGCATATAGCAAGATTTCCTTTATATACTGACTGTGTAAGCAAGTTGTCGATGTTTAGATGTTTAGAATCGTGTAGACAAAAAATATATATTAATTCTCAATAGGTTTTGAGGGAAGTGTGTTATTTCAGAAGATCTGTTACTCACACAAAATATGACAAGTAAGTTAGCAAATGGAGTTGTACACTAAATATTCTATTTTGGAGCAACATCTATTTACATTTTAAAAGGAACACACGTGCATAAATACAGTCTACGATACAATATGCTTACTTAGGCCATCGAACTAATTTATAGAAATAAAGTCGCTGTGGTCCACCTAAAGTTTATTTGCGACATAACACGCTTTACCTAAGACAAATTTAATTTAGATCAAGGCAAGATAAGTCGTATTTTCATGTACACAATATCTATATTACGATACACCGTGACTATTATTACCATTCTAAGTTCTAATTAAATTTGAGAACTATTCGGAAATCAAGTATAGCATTGTCAACTCTATACGACAGCTCTTAGATTACAAATTCGAATATTGAAAATGTCTCACAACACCGCCAGTAACTGACACCGCGTACAGTTGTTTGTTAATCGATTATAAAAAAATCGATGCATTTAATGAAAATCGATAGTGGTGGTGCTGTGAAAGCGTGACTCGATTTACGATTAAAATCGATTTTAACGATATTAACGATAAACGGCTAAAAATCGATAGTGTTAGTTTCGCTTCTGCATATAATCATTCACAGCTGCTTTAACGCAATCACAAAGCCCTAAAGATACATATCATATAGTATTACACCTACATATTATAATATAATCTAAGACATATTAGTACATCACACGTTGAAATAGCTAAAAGGTTATATTATTTGTATGTAGAAATATCGATAAATATAGTAGAGAAATAGATAGGAGATTCCCTGTTTTAATTTTTTTTTTATAATTACATAAAAATCTGCAAGTCAATCGTTAGAAGTGATTTCTGATTTAAAAGATCAGATAAACAGGGTTTCGAAACGCATACGCAGTTAATACCATGCCTTCTCTCACACCCAGAAGATAAATTTAACAAGGTTAATAATACTATTATGTAAATAATCGTAATAAAATATGTATATATAACGACAACAGGAAGTATAAAATAGACAAAAATATTCGTGGCACTTTCACAATACAATTTTTGTCACCGAGAAAAATACGAGAACAATGCTGTTTAGAATTAAAATAAATGACACTAAGGAGTTTTCGATCGAGAGTTTCACATTTGATATCACGGTAGATTCAATTAAAAAAAAAAAACATTTATTTTTATGAAAACGCAATTCTTTATGAAGATAAACACATGCAAGTTTTTTTTAAAATGGCAACCTTTACTTTGTTATATCTATGTTATGACCGCTACTTTTTTTTACGATATGGGATAGGTACATGGGTTACATTAAAATCTTAATGCATCAATCGTTGAGTATTCTTGTAAAATTAGTTTTAATATATTTTCCCATATCACCGTTTGTTTTTAATGTTCCAAAAACACAACAACATTAGTCGCATTTGAAGATGAAAGGCTTTTAATTTGACATTCACGGATTCACCACATAAGGGGCCATATATGATTGTCTGCCCAAGCCTACAAAAAAAATCTGTACATTTCAGATATCAAATCAGATTCCAAAATAACGTAGTTCATATTATTTAGTTAACATCAAAACTTAAACATTCAGATCTACTAATTATTTTACGATTATTATTCCTCAACACACAGACAGACAGAGAAGCATCATTAAAGAGAAAATAATCTCTCATCAGGGGTATCACGACCCTCAGTAACGAGGAAGACGACGCGAGAAGGAAGATGTCTCTAAAATCATAATTGTTTTTGTTCTTTAGAGTATATTGAATCCCAATCTTAATATTTCACTTAATTGTATTACTGAAGTATGCACTCGTTATTAATAAAAGAAGACTAGACATTTATTGAAATTGTTTTACTATTGTACACAGACTGACGGTTATGGTTTTAATTGTTATTGTTTATAATTTTTATTATATATAGTGTTTTATTAAATTTAAATTGTTTTTACTTCTGAAGTTAAATTATGAAAATTTTGAAATCTGTATAATCTTTATCGCGTAACTTTCGTTCTACAAACTGTAAACAGCTATCAAAAGACGTAGCGATAGGGACCTAACAAGCATTCTGTAATACGCAAACAGACATACAATTGTTTCCTGAGTTAAAATCCATGTATTTTGTGAATTATCCTTAGTTAAATTATCCAAAAGACATTTAGAATGTTTCGAAGTTTTTTTTTTCTGACTAAACTTTGTGAGACTAGTAACTGTTAATATAATGACAAGGCTGCGAAACGAATAAGCAAATAAATAAAATCGATATTATAGTATCGATTTTTTTAATCGTCGACACTCTAAATACCCTTATTCGATTCAAAACCTAATTTACATTTTGCGTAAGTACATTTAAGCATAAATTATAAAAGAAGAAGCACCATTAGTATTATATAAATTCTATAATAGAGCGGTTTAAAGCTTTTAGTCGTAGACTGAGGACTATTGAAGATATATTTCAAAAGGAAAGTGTTCAGGTTTTGTTAAGGGGACGTTTTACAAAGAACTCCTAGAAGATTATTCTAATAAGCGTTTTACGATATCGGCAGTCTGTTTTAAACTACAATGAAAGGCTAAATTCATTTAATTATGATACTTATTGCACATGACATAGAGTAGAGAGGTAATATTGTATCACATGAACCTGTGCCGTTTTCAAGGAAGCGACATCTATACAGAGCCGGGAAGAATTAAAATTTGAGCCTTTCAGTTTCTAAGCGCGGAGAACTTTACGAACACCTACTGCTATTTAAGTATATAATTATTGCTGTTTCAGATTATTTCATATCTTTCATAAACTACGAACTGTTATAAGTATACGTGTTATTGCTAGTTATTGTGGTTGTGACAAACTATATAACGTCAATGTCTTTACTGTCGTTTCTAAATCGAAGCTGAGAAATATTTTTCGATATAGAATGCTTATACAAGGGAACGACCTCTAAGCCGCGATTCAATATCGATAAAACAATCTCGCCACTAAATCGTTTACGACAATCAACACTACAGTGTCCCCTCTCTAAGCATTAATTAACTTGCTACCCTACATTATGTAAATGACTAAGCGATCGTTTGGAATGTTAATCTACAACCTACGCTTACTAATGTCGGTTAATATTCTTTTGTACGCTGCAAACAATATTTACACTACATTTATAAATATTCGACCGATACACACACACACACACACGTTATTATTAGATACTTAATAGAATACGATTCTGCAAAAATTAGTAATTAGTAAATCTTAATATGTGCTGCATTTTACGATTTTAAATGTAAATCGAAATTAAAAATCTCAGTAGAAAGGATAAATTGTATAGCTTTTGTAAAAATAGATTCTGAAATAAAATAAATAATAATAATAATAATTAGAAAAAAACATTTCGAACCGTTCACTAACCAGACATTGGAATAACCATTCATAAGAATAAATTTCAGATCTTTAACAATTGATCGACGGACGCTAAACGCTACGCAGAAGTTTACATTGCAGAAAGGAATATCTCTCGGATAGTGCTGTGCAACATTATCGATGAGAGCATCTCGTGCCAAGATATGTATGGACTTGAGCCGGCTACGTGGGGCGGCGAACTATCGAACTATCGACAAACAGTAAGGCTCACGGTCCGAGTCGGTCTAAGACGTTCCTGTCCCTTGCGCGTCTCCGATCGAATCACTATCGACTAGTTAAATGCAGCAGCACGAGACTCGAGACGAATCGGCCCGATCACATAGAGCTAGGCGTCCGGATCGATATCGATACGCTTATCGATCGACAGCGGGCGAGCTCTAGTGAGATAGCGATCCTGCCGTTCGCTCCTTAGGCGATAATATCACAGATTCCTAAACAAAACGGTCACTGGGCAGGACCGCTAGCCCTCCGGCGCGCCCCCGCACAGACGGTCCAGCTTCACGAGCTCCTGCAACAAGCACGACATTCTATAAACTAACAGACTTTAGTGTCCGACTTTAGGAATCAGTTCACAATAAATCAAAAAGTCGTATTTTCTTTTTGGTCCTACTGCAACACAAGCCTCGATATTTATCACCACAAAACTCATTCCACATTGTGTATGTCAAATTTAAATACAAAAACAATACGACTGATGACACGTACTGGTATGAGCGTCGAATTGTATCGACATCTTTCGATAACCACGTTTAAGTTTGATGACTTAGCAAGTTGTTAGATGTTGATCCATTTTATTCCTCTATGACATTAGCATCGTCAGCTTAGTGCCCGATCTTTCCTGGGTGATGACGGGACAAAGGGTGCGGGGCCATAAGTTGGTGATTGTGAAATTTATCTGTTTATATCGTTGTTTCTTGCTTACTGTTTTTTTTTTAGTTTCTATGTTTTTGTTTCTTTTCTCTCTCTACTGTTTCTTCGCTCTCTACTGTTTTAATTTGCTTATATTGTTGAGGACCTTTAATTGGCTTTTTGTTTCTATTATTTGTTATATTATTATACTTATACTGGTCATAAATACTGTTACAATTAAAAATAAAAAAAATTCTATTGCAAATAACATTTATTACTTTTACAGTGTGTTAGTTTAATACATAAATATAAAACAATTTAAAGTATAAAAAACTTATTCGAAGTGGTCTCCATTGGCTGCAATACAGTCCTTTAAACGTTGATCAATAGAAGCACGCACTCTATGGCTCAGTCACTGCTTCATAGCTAATACCCCACCAAATCATCACTGAAGTCGGATAGTGCCCACGTTGCACTCTGTCTACTAATTGGGAAGCTTCCTTAGAGCTTTGAGCATAAATACGGTCATTTTGTTTGTTAAAATGTTGCTCAATTGTAAAAAAATTCTCATCCGTAAACAAAATTTTTCTATGACCTCCCTTTGCGTACCGCTTCAGTAGTTGTTTCGATTTTACCGCCCTGTTCTCTTTTAAATTAGCAGTTAAGAAATTACCAGTACGTCTCTTATAGGCTGCAAGTCCTAAGTCATCTTTTAAAATACGCGACATGGTTCTAGGTGCTATCTTCATCTCCCGAGATAAAATCTTATGCTTTCGGACAGGATTTCTTCGAATTATTTCCCTTACTGCTTTGACCACCTTTTTCGTACGAACACTACGTGGACGGCCAGATCTTTTTCTGTCACAAACAGAGGAGGTCTCATTGCACCTATTAATAGCCCGGTACACAAACATTTTACTAATACCAGGCGTATGGAGAGTTTTAAAAATTGCATTTGGCTCCATACCTACTTTGTGTAATGCAATCACAGCGATTCGGTTCTCTTTATCACCCCACTCCATTTTAATATCGCAAAATATTGTACAATGTATTGGCGCCAAAATGAGAAAACTCAATGAGCAATCATATAAAAATGACAGATTCCAAATTCAAACGTAATATTTTGTTTATNATGGAGAGTTTTAAAAATTGCATTTGGCTCCATACCTACTTTGTGTAATGCAATCACAGCGATTCGGTTCTCTTTATCACCCCACTCCATTTTAATATCGCAAAATATTGTACAATGTATTGGCGCCAAAATGAGAAAACTCAATGAGCAATCATATAAAAATGACAGATTCCAAATTCAAACGTAATATTTTGTTTATTTTTAATTGTAACAGTATTTATGGCCAGACTAAGTATATTAGTCGGCTGTTGGTTCTCCTTGTAGTAAATAAAAAAAATAAAAATTATGATTAATGTTATCGAACACAATATAATACGCGTTAAGGTGTCAAGCTATATGATGAGTGGTCTACCTGATCTCGGTGTTTGAGCAGCATCTGCAGCAGCTTCTCGTGGTCGCGGGCGAGCTGCTCGCGCCGCTTGGTGTAGGCTTGCTCTAGCCGGCAACATTCCGACACGCCACGCTCCACGCTCTACACGCAACCATAGATAATACACACAACCATAGATAATACACATAAATCAGTTATAGATAAGACTTTTTGGCGGGAACGCGAGGAGTGAAGTTGTGTGATTTGCTTTATTTTGTCTATTTAGTGTTTCTTCAGGCTTAAATGTGTAATAACGGTCGTTTATTAACTGTTTAATATCTGTGAAAGTGCACAAATGTGGGAAAATGAAACAAAGCCGCTGGACGTAACTTCTCGGGATACTCCAAAAAGTCTACTGAAAAAATCTCAGTAAATGACCACCATTTTACTGAGATTAAATGTCATCCCATATCATCTCATTTAATTTCATCCCAGTAATCTCTCAAATTAATCACTTTCATTTCATTACACTCCATTTCATTTTATTTCACTCCATAATATCATTTTTCATAAAAATAAGAATATACATTAAAATAAGACATGACCTAAAGGTCTTAGTTACCAGGTCATAAAATCTCTTAAAAAAAAGTTATAGATAAGCAACTCAAGCACTCAACAAAAATGTTTACGGGCGTCGGCCACTAGATGGCTTCGCTTCGATTAGTTTCTCATTGCTCCTGTAGATGGCATTATTACCTATCCTATATTTTATTTTTAATTAAGAATTTTGTAAGTTGTCAGAAGACACTAATTGATAAAATTTTGTCAAATCTTAAAGTATCGCAGTTTCAGGGCATACAACATTTTTAACGACATATTATAGTGGATTAATGTTCATATTTGAATATGCATGCAATTTGATATAAATATTAGGTCTAAAAGTCTGTATTTACTCGTGTCTGTCTTAGAGCGTGATGTGAGATAAGGTATTGATCTGTTCGTGGCTATGTACCCTCTTTGTCTTTGAGTAGTCGGTTATGTAGGAGCTCACGGTACATCTGTTCTAATATAGTTACCGAAGCGTATAGATATCGCAACGTTAATACAAGTGTCGAAATGTAACGTGTCGTAGAAAAAAAGGGGTTTATAGTTTTGGTCAATGTTACACAAGGTTGATCAGTGTCGCCTATAATCTCACTGCCATGGTTAGTATTGTCACTACATGGTATAAAACAAAGTCGCTTTCTCTGTCCCTGTGTATGCTTAAATCTTTAAAACTACGCAACGGATTTTGATGCAGTTTTTTTAATAGATAGAGTGATTGAAGAGGAAGGTTTATATGCATAATAACATCCATTAAATAGTGGAGAAATCAATAATCAATTACAGTCTCCGAAGCGGAGCGAGGGCGGGTAGCTAGTAATTTAAGTAAACTATAATGTTAAATGAAACGTACCTGCGAGTGGATCTCTCTCTTTATCCTCTGTATCTCGTCTTTATCACGATTTGTCTTTTTGGCGAGCGCTTTGACGTCTTCCTTCCGCGAGTTTGCTAGTCGATTTAATATTTCCTTCTTCTCGACTTCTAACAGATCCTGTTAATAACACGAAGCTTCATTATTGTAAATCAATAGTCGTCGTTTTAAAGGAAATCAAAACTTTTTACTGGTGGTAGGACCACTTAAGTCCGCGCGGGTAGGTACCACCGCCCCGCCTATTTCTGCCGTGAAGCAGTAATGCGTTTCGGCGTGAAGGGCGGGGCAGCCGTTTTAACTATACTGAGACCTTAGAACTATTATCTCAAGGTAGGTGGCGGCATTTACATTGTAGATATATATGAGCTCTGGTTACCACTTAACACCAGGTGGGCCGTGAGCTCGTCCACCCATCTAAGCAATAAAAAAAAACGTGAGACCCTTTATGATGGACCAACTTCATTCAACACGTTGACGCGCTCTGAAGTAATTATGTTGATTTCTCTCTCCGATCTTCTTACAAAGGCGCCGGAATATCTAGTAGACTTTTGGAAAGACGAATCCGAAGAAACTGAGCATAAATCTATTCCTAACACGACATTCCTAAACGACTAAAAAATACATTAATAAACAAAATAAGGCAAAGTTAGGCAATCCAGGTGTCTTAGTAACAGAAATGTAAATAATTACTTCAGTGCGTCAAGTAAGGCCCCGCTTACTTAAATGGCAGTGAAAGGGTTAAGTTATATAAGTTAACTAGTATTATTCTCTCCGATTTTCGCGAGAAGAGGACATATTTAAAACTACGTTTACGATTTGTTATTATTATTATATTAGTTCCTAGGTCCGAGTGAACAAGGGTCGCGGGACGCGAGAAGTGCACCACCACCCGAAATGGTGACCACGACCACTCTGCCAAGTGTGTATATTAGTTCCGACGTTTACAAATGCTGTACGGTTTCCGTGCGTCACGTGGTCAGTGTGGTCGATGCGATCTTTTTTTTTTTTATTGCTTTGATGGGTGTTAAGTGGTTACCGGAGCCCATAAACATCTACAACGTAAATGCGCCACCCACCTTGAAATATAAAGTTCTAAGGTCTCAAGTATAGTTACAACGGCTGAATCGCCCTTCAAATCGAAACGCATTACTGCTTCACGGCAGAAATAGGCAGGGTGGTGGTGGTACCTACCCGCGCGGACTCATAAGTCATAAAGTCATAAATAGTAGGCTTGGCTTGGCCCCTGGCATTGCTGACGTCCATGAGCGACGGTGACCACTTACCATCAGGTGGCCCGTATGCTCGTCTGCCTACAAAGGCAATAAAAAAAAAGTCCTCGAAAGTCAACTCTAATTTTACAGAGGGGTGTGAGCGAGGGTGACGTACGCTGAGCGTCTTCATCTGCTGCGAGTGGTCGGCGCGCACGTGCTTCTCGAGCGCGGCGTAGATGGCGTGGTGGTAGCGCAGCCGCAGCGCGCGCTCCTCCGCCGCGCCCTCCTCCGCCGCGCCGCTGCCCCCCGCCTCACCGCACCTGCACACCCCACTCAACGACTCAACTTATCGTATAGTAGATTTTCTTTTTTTTGACATGACAACGTCTTATAATTCGATGGAGCCGGCTGCACGCACGAAAAAACATGACTCATTGAGGCGTTCCATTTAAGGCTTGAAGTGCAAGCGAGAGCGCGCTACGAGCGATAGAGACACAATCGGCCTCCGCACATCGCCACATACACTTACAAGTTTTCGTCAAGTATGAAGTTCAGCGAAAAGTGAATGTGGTGTCAATTGTCCATACAAAATATCTATCAAACAAATAAAATTAAAATTTTCTTTTGAAAATTGAAACCATTCCATCAGTATTTTCTTATGACGTTGTCACATTCAACTGTCGTCAGTAAACCGACTTTACATTTAAGTTTTTTACTATCAATCACGCCACGTTAACGGGTCCCGTGCTAAGTTCGTAAAGAACTTATATCACAGGTACCAGATTTATACATATATATATATATATATATATATATATATATTTAATAAGTATCCATAAACATGGAAAAGACATTTTATATTTATCATACAAATATCTTCCCTTGGCGGGATTCGAACCCGCGACCCCCTTGTGTAGTGACCATGTCACTTATCACTGCACCAGACGGCCGTTAATTGCGGGGGAATAGAGACTAGAGTTAGAATACGGACAAACCTAGGATGTCATAATACTTTTGTTGAACTGAAAATTACTTTCATTTGATGTTTAAGAATATTAAATAGTTTAATTTAGTTATCAAAGTTTTGTAACTCATCAAAGATATTAAAAAGTTAATTACCTAAAGTTAGGTACCTATCTAACAACTAAATAGTGCCAGCCCTATCGAAAAACTCTATTGTCCCCATACATAACCTGATTCACCCCAAAGCCAAGGTGAATGGGGACAAGTGAGTTTTTCTTTTTACTTTTTATGATTATTCTTTAATAAAGTATATCTTAATGCATTATAAATGAAAATTTAAACTCCCAGAATTTATTGTTACAGCTACAAAAAAAATACGATAAAAATCAATGTCGAACTTAAAAAGTGTCCCGATTCTCCCCATTATACGGTACACGCGTCATCCGTTGTGAGACTTAACAGAGATGTTCTAAAGTACTATATTTCCCACATATTCAAGGAGAACCGGAGCCCAAGTATTAGAAAATCGTGAACACTATGATATATTCAGAAGTGTCAATTGTTAGTCGCTTCATTATTAACGATCGAAAACAATAATAATAACAACTGAGAACAATTTACATACCGCCATCCGAACCCAATTTAGGATTCCCTGAGTTATAGGTACCAGAGACTGATAAAAATACTTATATACGTTTAAATATTTATATCTATACTAATATAATGTAAATCTACAATGGTTTTTACGGATGTTTCGTTATAACTACTGCACCATGCATTCGATTGACTTGAAACTTGGTATCCATGTAGAAAATATATTTACTTAATGGATAGGCTAATATTTATATGGGTGTTGGACTACCTACACCAGTTGCGGGGGCGTTAATGATAAGAATCTTTGTGGGGTAAGAAATAATAATGCTAATTTTAAATGCCCAGCCAAGCGGACGGGTACAGCTAGTGAACATAAATCCAGACACAGAGCAAACATATTTGCTCATTATAAAAATCTTTGCTCGATGTGGGAATCGAACCCACGACCCCCGTCGTAACATTCGACCGGCCGCTAACTACTGCTCCACCGAGTCAGCCACCGAACTCAAGAAACATTTTATACACAGACCCACGTACATGTTATTGGACGAGAGCTTCTTAACGAGCTTGTTGCTGACGTAGAACTTGGCCGAGAAGGGCTTCTTGTCCTTATCGAACTTGCGGCGCAGCGTGTCCAGCTTGCGGGCCAGCTCGGCTTCTTTTAACCGCACCAGCTTCGAGTTCAGCAATGTTTCTAAGGTCTCAGCCAGGCTCTCGTCCGTGCCGTTCGCTTTCTTCTCTTGCTCTGGAAAAGCAATACGTCGGTTGGCGAACTGGCGACCAGTATCGTTACGGGGTGGTGGATCCAGGAGCTCTTTTAAAAAAAGGAAACTGTGAATTACACTGAGTTTATTTTATAAAAGAAATAGTACATGCGATGTGTGTTTCCGCTGCTCAAGCCAAATCTGTTCTGCCGCGCTTTTTTTTTTCCTACCTAAGCTGAGAGCCTTGAGAGGCTATTTCAGCGTAACCTTAACTAGTAGGTGAGCTCACGGGGCTCAAACCTGACAACGTTCTACGACAACTAACACGAACCCTAGCAAGAGCCGTTCTACGCAGAATCTACCACCGGATCGGAAACGCGACCCACTGAGAAGATCCGGCGAGAAACTCAGTGGGCTGTGTCTGAGGGTTAATTTGCGACGGGTTCGACGAGAACGACGACCGGTGCTTGAGGCACGTAAAAGCACCGTTAGTGGATCGGGAGGATCCGAAATGACGTGTTTGGGGCGACGTCGACTGCTTTCGGGATCGGGAGCCACGCTTTAGCAATAAATCATCTTTATATAGAGACGATGCATTCAAGAATGCCTTAGTCTGCATTATTATATAGATTGCGTTATTATTGAGAGGCATATGTAACAGTAACACTGCAAAAAGGCAATTTTTAGTGATCACACAACTACTTTTTAATTATTTTAATTCCCTTACTAATGAAATGGGAAGAATCTTTCTTCAGCACTTCTACAGCCATAAAATCCTGTAACTCTTTATTTTCATTGCGTAGCAGGTGCGTCTGGCTTTAAGTGGTTACTGGTACTGGCAGGGCCGTAGGCGTCACAAGGTGAATGCCCCCGCCACACAAATTGAGAAATGAGGTCTACAAGCTCAATTGTGCAGTGATTACGTAAATTATATTTTTTACGGTTTAAATTTTTATTACACAATTTAATTACTCTCTCTTATCGTGAAGATCATTCGTGAATACGAGTTTAATACTTATTTCATTGAATAAGGAACATCTTATCCTTTAGGCTGCAACTTCAGAATTGTACGTAATATTATTAGATATTTGTTTACCTTTAGTATCAGTCGGCGGCGGTATCGGCAGGGTCACAATGGACTCGGTCTCTATTAACTTCTTGGTCTCCAAGGCCAACTTACTGGGACTGCTCTCCGGCACCGCCTCGTGTCTTACCTGCATGAGAACAACTTCATTAAAAAGAGTTAGTTATCTCCACAATTTGTGAGCACGATCGGAGTGGCGCTGTGGAAACTGAAGCTATCTTTAGAACGATAAACCGAGAGATGGCGCTACTAACGACACACCTGATGAGCAATGTCAATGTCAGCGTTTTTTTTTGTTATGGAGGGTAGAAGTAAGGAGCAACATCTCTAATTAAGATGGCGCCACAGAAGCAAGTGGAAAGATTTTAAAGACATGATATTTTCTAGATTAGATGGACCTTTTCTGAATCATTGCAGAGAGGTCCACAAAATTTGCTCGTAATGCCGCTACTGCAGTCTTATGTAGTATGTATGTTGTTGTTTTCTTTTATTACGGTGTCCTTACTAACTTATTTTAATAAATCACTGTTACTAACATTTATATGGATCATTATCTGAAATAAAAGAATTTAATAATAATAAAAAAGACAACGCCATAAACTACCACACTTCACTCTGCTTAAAAGTGCTATATACATATCATTTCATAGTGCTCCGCCCGTGCAATTCTTGTAAAAAGATGGTACAATGTTTTTGTTTCACGTATGAATATATAGAAGGAAGTTTGAGTGCATGGGTACCGGCTGCGCGACGGAGCGGCGCGGCTCCTGCTCGGGCTCGTCGGTGCCGTCGGTGAGCACGGCCAGCTGGTGCTCGCGCTTGTCCAGCTCGCTCTGGTACTTTATGGGGTTGGCCAGGGCCTCCGCCAGCTCCGACAGCTTGTCCGGCACGTAGTCCTGGAACACGCACACCTCTATTACACCGTGCAGGTAGATAAACACATCGCGAGGCGAACGAAACATTTCCTATGGAATGAGATTATGTGTATAAGTAATTTAGTTGGGAGTCAATAGTTAGTTTGAATAATAACAAAATTATAATTTGCGTAATTACTGGTGGTAGGACCTCTTATGTGTCCTCTACCACTAGTAGAGCGAGCTAGAGAGTAGCCTATTTCTGCCGTAAAGCAGTAATGTGTTTCGGTTTGACGAGCGAGGCAGCCGTTGTACTGTTAAAACTGAGACCTTAGAACTCATGTCGCAAGGTGGGTGGCGCATTTACGTTATAGATGTCTATGGGCCCCAGTAACCACTTAAAACCAGGCTGGCTGTGAGCTCGTCCACCCATATAAGCAATAAAAAAAAAAAAAAAAAATCCATATAAATTTGACTTAACTTTTACGGTATCGAGAACGTTAAAATACCCGCACTAAGCGTAGAGACGATTGAGTGGCTGAGTGTGGTGCGCGCGTACCTTGACCTGCACGTGCAGCAGCAGCGCGGCGTGCAGCGGCAGGCCCCGCTCCGTGCGCAGCGGCAGCGCGCGCAGGCCGGGCCGCAGCCCGCGCACCGGCACCACGCGGTGCCCTAGCAGCCGCCCGCCCTCCTCGTGCGCCGCCACCCGCAGCATCGCCAGCTCCGGCAGCACCACCTGCCACGCGACACGACTTACCACTGCTGCCTCCTCAACGGAGACTTCGGCCACATAGGTCGGCAGGCATAACAGGTAGGCAGATTTTGTAGTTTCGCCTCTACGATTTGATTTAAGCTAAATAAACAGAGTCCTGGCCATGATATTTTCGAGGTTAGATGGACCTTTTCTCAATCATTGTAGAGAGTTAGGTTTGAGGTAAAGGTTTGTAGGCAGCGGCTTGGCTCTGCCCCTGGCATTGTTGAAGTCCATGGGCGACGGTAACCACTCACCATCAGGTGAGCCGTATGCTGGTCTGCCTACAAGGGCAATAATTCTCCATATAAATGATCACTTTTCGGCGCGCACTAGGGTCCGTTCACACAGACCAGCTCGGGGAGGAGGGCAAATTTTTATCACGTTGGAAACAGAGTTTTGAGTAATTGTAGTAAAGTTTATTTTTGCATGTGCATTTTTTTATCATTAAAAATGCTTGAAGAGGAGCCGACCGGCCCCGATTGCGTGCGCATCCACTTTCAGATCTCTTCCAGTCGGTCTGTGTGAACGGACCTATGCGATACTGTAAATTTCGTCTAGCCGATGTGGTGGAACTCGATAAGAGTTTAGTCGGTAATCGGTTCTGCGGGATGGGTACTTCGCGCGCCTTTCGCAAAGCATAATCTCCTGGGAGGAATAAGAGAAGGAGGAGAACCTTGGTCTTCCTCTTCTTCTCTGGAATCGAAGTCCGACATAACCCGGTCTATTACCGCCTCGACTGGATATCCGAACACGGATTCCCCAGCGTTAAAAAAAAGTAAATGATTTCTATAGACCCCAGTGATTATTAAACACAAATCAAGAGTACAATAAAAAATACAATTCTCACTCTTTTTGGTTGCGCTGGTTTAAAACTGTTAGTTTTTGGTTTCGGAAGATAGCTAATGTGGTTTTTGCAAATCCTGTCCCATCTCTCTCCCACACTTTACCTACTGACGCGTGCGAGCGAGATCGTGTGGTGACATCGAGTTGAGAAGAAATATAATGGCTGAACTACCGCGCGCGCGCTTCATGTCTCTGTTGTAATATATACGTAAATAAGTGAAATTGTTGGTATTTCTCATCGCGTAGCGGTACGAGCCTGCAGTAAGGAGTACATAAGGTATTGTTCATCCTTTCTTTACCGCAGAACTGCCGCTTCTTACCGTTTCTTTCCGCAGTCTTCGAGGTGGGTGGCGCATCTACGTTGTAGATGTCTATGGGCTCCCGTAACCACTTAACACCAGGTGGCCTGTGAGCTCGTCCATCCATCTAAGCAATAAAAAAAAAGTCTGTATCCTACAATTTGCAACGACCAAATTTCAATATCTATATATATATATATAAAAATGAATTGCTGTTCGTTAGTCTCGCTAAAACTCGAGAACGGCAGGACCGATTTGGCTAATTTTGGTCTTAAATTATTTGTGGAAGTCCAGAGAAGGTTCAAAAGGTAAAGATAAATATGAAAATGCTCGGGATTAAATAAAAATAACAATTTAATGTGTCCCCCGTCGGACGGATTCTTTTTGTTTGTTTTAAGTTTATTTTATACCAAAATTTAGGTATTTTATTTCTCGATCGAGGCACTACGAAGTCTGCCGGGTCAGCTAGTTCAAAATATTTCGTATATATCTCACCTTCTTAAATTCGAAGGGTTCGTCTCCGTAAATCGGATTGATTCCGTTATTGGGCACGACCCGGGTGCGGAACTTCTTCCTGACGGTGTCGGCCGGCAGACCGAACATGTCCACCTCCACGTACGTGCCGCAACGCTTGTCGGTCAGTAGCTGCCCTGACAGGACCGTCACGGTGAGACTGCCGGCTATGATGCCGTCCACTGTGCTCTCCGCGAATGGATCCAAACGTCGATCCTAGTTTATATAAAGGTTAAGTTCTATAATTTTTTTAAAGGTATTTTATGACCTGGTAACTGAGACCTTTAAGTCATGTCTTATGTTAATTTATATTCTTATTTTTAGGAAAAATTATAATATGTAGTGAAATGAAATGAAGATGATTAATTTGAGACATTAATCAACTGGGATGAAATTAAATGAAATGAAATGAGATGATATGGGATGAAATATAATCTCAGTAAAATGGTAGTCATTTACTAAGATTTTTAGTGGACTTTTGGAGGATCCCGAGAAGTTACGTTCAGCGGCTTTGTTTCATTTTCCCACATTTGTGCACTTTTACAGACACTAAACAGTTAATAAACCACCATTAATACACATTTAAACCTGAAGAAAAACACTAAATAGACAAAATAAAAAAATCACACCACTTCACTCCTCGCATCCCGCCACAAAGTCCGGTTAAGTTCTAGTTAAGTAACTAGAGATTATACTTAGTACGTTATTAAATTTATCGATATTTCATTTATCGACACCAAAAATTACATCACTATGGGCAACAAAAAAATTATGTTTCTAAAATCAACATTTTAAACATTTTTTTATCATTAATCATTATCTAGCATTAATAATAAAGATATCATAAAACCAAACTAGGGATGTATCATTATTATGTATTTAATCGATACAAAATGTTATCGCCTTACTCGTTTGAGTTCGTAAAACTTCGAACGGTGACAAAAAAATACCTTTCTCCTCATAAATTCAGGTTTCAATAGGAATCCGCATCGCTTGTTGTACTCGAACGTGCCTAGGTTGAGCTGCATGGCGAGGTCCAAAGTTTGATAGTTGAGAGCGACTAATTGACAACCCGCGTTCCAGAAGACCTGGGTAATCAAATTTTAATTTACAATATTTATTATGTGTTAGGGAACCGACTAAAAATCCCTTTTCCTGATCTACGTCATCTATCGGCTTTGTGAAGAATTATAACACGCCTCCTAGCGGACTAAGAAAAAGAACTGAGTCGACGCTTCGCACCACGCGGGCGTCTGTAAAAAAAACTATTTAATTCTGTTATACTGTTTTCGCAAACTTTGCAATTCAACTTGTGCGTTGTGTCCGTGTGTTTTAAGCTCCAGCAATCCAGAACAGTGCCCCGGGGACAGAAGACCACAAACAATATCAAAATAAGCATTTTGTGAGTACCTTCCCCCTTTTTAGTCGGTTTAGTTTTCTGGGAGTCAAATTTAATTCAACAAACCTTGTTTATACAACATTATGTGACGGTCTTTTCCCTATCTAATCACTGATAGCCTAAGGAACTATTCCAGCTACGCCGATAGGTGAGCCCACGGGCTCAACCTGAGAGAATTGGCTAACACTAGTCCTAGGAAGAGCAGTGCTTCGCAGAATCTACTGCTGTGTGCTTAGTGCGAGTTTTTTAACGTCCTCGATAGCGTAAAAGTTAACTGAAATTGGTATAGAATTAGAACGTTTGCCGCTAGGGGCGCTGTTCCAGCTGCATACAAATTTGAGTTAAAAAAACTAAGGTAATATTTAGGTGAATATCAGATTAGTTTTTAGGTAAAAAAAAATTGTCGCTTAAAAGAGAGAAGGTTTTTGGTTAAGTTTGTTGTTCACCTGTGGCATGAAGTTGGACGAGTCGAACCTGGTCCCGGCCGGGTACACCCGGGACAGCTGGTGCTTGTTGTAGTTCACGAACTCGATGGGACGTTCCTTCAGCAGCGTGGTCGCTTGTTTCTCGTCGAACGATGACATCTCGTAGAAACGATTCTTTTCTGTTTCAAAAAATTAATGATCTCCACTCAATTTTCCTGATACTGTTTGTTTGCTTAAAAAAAATTGAAAGGTCTGTTTGTCTCTGAATTTCCTCATATTGAAACGACATTTTTTTTTCTTACTAATAAATAAATAGAAACTAAGAACGCTCAACCCTATGCTCCGTCTAAGGGTATCGTTGTACGGGCGACCTAAAATTGATTAGTTTTCGTTAAACATAAAACCTGGATACTGACCGCACAAGTGAACTCGTGCAGACCAAATCACATATGCTCAGTGCCTTCGAGTGAAATCGTACAAAATGATGCTGTAGGCTTAGTGCGAGATTCTTAACGTTCTCGATAGCGTAAAAGTTAATCCAATTTTGTATGCAGTTCGAACAGCGCCTCTAGCGGCAAACGTACGCAAACGATCCCACTCCATACAAATATGAGATAACTTTTACGCTATCGAGAACGTTAAAAAGCTCGCACTAAGCACACTGGACCCGGGTACATACTCTCGGCGCTCTCGAACGAGCTAAAGTGCACGGGCTGCACGTAGTTGACGAGCGCGGAGATCTCGGCGGCGGCGTGACACTCGCGCGGCTCGCCCTCGCCCCCCGCCGCGCCGCCCTCCGCGCCCCCCGCCTCCTCCTCGCCAGACGAGCTCTCCGACTCCGACGACTCGGACGAATCCTTCGAGCCTTGTCTGCCTAACTGTAATAATAATAATAAGCCTTTTATTCCATGCAAATAAATAGTAAGTTACATACATATCTATATATATAAAAATGAATTGCTGTTCGTTAGTCTCGCTAAAGCTCGAGAACGGCTGGACCGATTTGGCTAATTTTTGTCTTGAGTTATTTTGTGGAAGTCCAGAGAAGGTTTAAAAGGTAGATAAATATGAAAATGCTCGGAATTAAATATAAATAACAATTTTGTTTTTCCTTTGATGTGTCCCCCGTCATTCGGATTCCTTTTGTTTGTTTTAAATTTATTTTATACAAAAGAATAGGTCTTTTATTTGTCGATTGAGGCACTACAAATTCTGCCGGGTCCAGCTAGTTTTAAGTATAAATATAAAGACAAAAAAAAGAAGAAATTGTGATATTATTTACACGTATTTCACTTAAATTTTTTCCCTTTTTTGTTCCTTTTTTTAAGGTATAAATCTAGGTAAAGCTTTTAAAAAAAAGTTTAAACGGCTTAAGCGGCTAACAACGCAATCATAAATCTTATTCTGACGCATTTCGAATCCAGGCAAAACAGTTAAATCAGTCGGTTCCGCGCTAAAAAGAAGCATTCGCACATAAAATCGTGGAATTCAGATTATGATTGGTAAAGAAAAACAACTTTTGTCCATAACTCGACCTGAACAATTTGTGTTGGCAACGGCGCCCGCCATTTTAATTTTGTTTACGAAATAGTTAAACACCATCACGGCTTTATTACAAAAACGTTCTAAATTCGAAATTCACACACGAACGCGCGGCGTTTACACGTTTGATAATGACTTGTGTATATTTTTTGTGTGTTAAATACATTATGGATCTAACAACGGAATGAAAAAAAAAAAGGCGAAACATTCCGGCCTTTCTATAGTAGAACTAAGTTTATCAGAAGTTATTTTTCAGTGAATAAGGAATTTAAGAAGTAAAAAAAAACTTTAAATGTCGTGCGTTAATGATACACGTATAGTTCATAGATTATTTCGTGCCTTTTTTCCTGTTAGCGAAATAGTCAAACCACTGGTGATAGGACCTCTTGTGAGTCCGCACGGGTAGGTACCACCACCCTCCCTATTTCTGCCGTGAAGCAGTAATCCGTTTCGGTTTGAAGGGTGGACAGCCGTTGTAACTATACTGAGACGTTAGAACTTATATCTCAAGGTGGGTGGCGCATTTACGTCGTAGTTGTATATGGGCTCCAGTAACCACTTAACACCAGGTGGGCTGTGAGCTTGTCCAACAATCTAAGCAATAAAAAAAAATCGATAACAGTTTACGAACAACTTCTTGTTGAATATCAATCCTTCATCGTCTGCAAGATAAGACGCCATATGCTACCGAGTGTGCTATGGACCTGGGGTAGTTACAATATGACCTCGGTATCTACATAACATCAGCTGAGTCGTTTTTTTTTCTCCCTACCCATTCCCTGGTAGCCTAAGGGGCTATTCGGACTTCACGCTGAACGGTAGGTGAGCTCACGGGCTCAACCTGTGAGAATTTGCTAACACTTGCCCTAGCAAGAGCAGTGCTTCACAGAATCTACCACCGGATCGGAATCGCGACCCACTGAGAAGATCCGTGAGAAACTCACTGGACTATGTCTATGGGTTAGTTCGCTTGTCGAACTCTTTGTCGTAATCAGGGAGTTCAACGAGGACGATGATCGGTGCCTGAAGAGCCTAAAAGCACGCCTAAAAGAACGTGGTTGTAACTTCAAAATAACTGGTAGATATAAATCTTCTATGATATGATGAATATTCTCTGTGCCAATGATACCTATATTGTGAGCTAAGTTTCTCTCTCACAAAAAAAAACGAAACAAGAGAACGAAAAAACAAATAGTCGTCAACAATTTTTGACATATTCGAATGACCTTCAACGATAATAAATCTAAAATCGACAAAAACTAATATTTATCGATGGACATATCGATTTAAATTCCTCCGTTACGTTAGTTAAAACAAATCGATGTTTATTTGTACGAGTCGAAATAAAAATACCAGAAAACGTAAACGTACGTGAACTGAGTATCGAATGATATATCCTCACACCTGCCCGAATCAAAGTAACGCGTGATGATAAAATGTTAGATATAATGCAACAAAAGAAATTATTTTAATAACGCAGACGAGAATACTTCTAACAGTGTTTATAATAAACGAAAGATGACATATTTGGTAAAAGTCATTTTTTTGTCCTATGCTGATAGCCTTGAGAGGTTATTTCTGCTTCGCCCTAACGTGTAGGTGAGCTCACGGTGGTCAAGCCGGATTTGCTAACACTGGCCGTAGCAAGAGTAGTGCTTCGCAAAATCTACCACCGGATCGGAAACGCGACCCACTGAGTAGATCCGGCGAGAAACTCAGTGGGCTGTCTGTGGGTCATATATATGTACATAATCTCGGCGTTGTTTATTGGCTAACGGTCCAGCTGATGTACAACTACCCACGTTGAGACATTTTATGACATTGTGGTCATATAACGGCGGTCCCAAGATTGCTTTGCGGCAATAATGGCTACGGCGGTACACGACATTCGTATAGTAAACAAGTAGGTAAAAACAGACGAAAGAGAAGTGAAGTAGGCCGGAGTTTTACAATAATTAAGACTTCGGCCTGATAAAAGTGGGTGAGGTCATTCGCCTTGTGATATTTATGGGGTCAGGTAACCTCTAAGCACACAATTAGGCAGCATTAAGTCCTAGTCAGGCTAGACTGGGCTAATTTTCTAATCGTTAATAGACTAATCTAGGTTAGACTTTGTCATCACGTGATGGAAAATGAAACAAAGCCACTGGACGTAACTTCTCGGTTCTGTAAAATCTCAGTAAATGACCACCATTATACTGAGATTATATTTCATCCCATATCATCTCATCTCATTTAATTTCATCTCAGTTGATTAATGTCTCATATTAATCATCTTCATTTCATTTAATATCATTTCATTTCATTTCACTCTATATTATCATTTTTCATAAAAATAAGAATATAAATTAAAGTAAGATATGACTTAAAGGTCTTAGCTACCAGGTCATAAAATCTCTTAAAAAACAATAATCACGTGGCCGCGGTGCGGTGGCTACTCACAGTGGCGTGGGTCATCTCGCCGTTCCCCTGCGTTGTCAGCTCGGCTCTCTGCTCGCACTCCTCTATCGGCGGTGTGTCCTCCTTCTTGTGATGGTGATGATGCTTCTTTTTGTTTTTAATTATTATTTTGTGCCGTAGCAACGAAGGCGGTGGAAGTTCGCCTCCTGTTTAACAATAATACGCGTTTCCCCTAAATACATTCAAATAGCGGTATTTTAATTAGTCTAAATGAGCGGACGAGCTCACGGGCGTCTGGTTTTAACGCAGCTTTAGTGCAGAAATATACCGGCAATATACTGCGCTCACAATACGCCCTGATACCAAGAGGTTTATACGACTGGTAGTGGGATCTCTAGTGAGTTCGCACTATCAAGTAGAGATACCACCACCCTACCTATTTCTGCCGTAAAGCAGTAATGCGTTTCGGTTTGAAGGGTATGACAGTCGTTGTGCTGTAAAACTGAGACCTTAGAACTCACATCGCAAGGTAGGTGGCAGAATTTACGTTGTAGATGTCTATGGGCTCCGGTAACTACCTAATACAAGGTGGGCCATGAGGTCAATACCAAACAAAATATACCCAAGTTTGTCGGATATTAGAGTGTAATATATACTAATATATAAATCTAGGTGGTTTTTACGGATATTCCGCTATAACTACTGAACCATGCATCTGATTGACTTGAAACTTGGTATCCATGTAGGAAATACATTTACTTAACGGATAGGCTAATATTTATATGAGTGTTGGATTCCCTAATAATAATGACAATAAATAATAATGTTAATTTTAAATGCCCAGTGAAGCGGGCGAGTACGGCTAGTCTCTATATAACTCTATAACATCTATCAGCCTAACTAAGCGTCATCCAATGCTCACTGCGACCGGTCGTGGGCTGACCGCGGCCAGCGGTATCCTGCAACCTTTGATACGTCATCAGTCGCCGCTCAAGAGCTTTTTAGCTCCAGCAACTGTTTTACGAGCAAATTGCACTGCCTACTGCCCCTTCACCTCGTAATTCTTTGGGCTCTGTCGGACATTATGGTTCTCTTACGAATCCTCCTCATTCCCGAACGCATAAAACATTACGTTAAGCAAAATTATTTTTTAATCAAAGCACAACGTGGCCTTCTTTCGCTGGCTAATTATAAAACAATCCTTTATACTTGCATGAATATAATATGAAAACATTAAAGTATCATAGATCACGAACGAGTTGTTTGTAAAACAGTATGCCCGACGACAGGCATTATTATATATTTAACGATCTCATAAAATGTTTGTTTATTTATATTAGTTAACGCGACGCTTAAGACGTACACCGAGCACTATAATAGCACCGGACCTAACCGGAGTTTATTATTATTGTTACATATTAAATTCATTTATTTCAGATAAAATGTTAATCCATATTAATGTTAGTAACAGTGATTTCTTAAAAACATAACATAACATGGTTAGTAAGGACATAAATACATATATACATACATACATATATATATATATATATTTTATTGCCCTTGTAGTAAGACGAGCATACGGCCCACCTGATGGCGAGTGGTTACCGTCGCCCATGGACTTCAGCAATGCCAGGGGTAGAGCCAAGCCACTGCGTACAAACCTCTACCTCAAACCTACCTCTCTACAATAATTGAGAAAAGGTCCATCTAATCTCGAAAATATCATAGCCAAGACGCTTTTTATTTAGTTTAAATCAAATCGTAGAAGCGAAACTACAAAAACTATTATTAGGTCGCAGCACGCCTCAATAATCTACGCACAACCTGAACAGCGATTTCATGGGATATAATCAAATACAATTTTATTTTGACGAGATTTTTAGTTCTTCCCTGCCCTGAATGAATGTGAAAGAGCCACGTAATTAAAATCAATAGTTGACTGGATTTATAAGAATGACCGAACCGGTGAAACTGCCTAAAAATCAATATTCGACTAGATTTGAAAGGTCACTGCGCTTAGTGTGAGTTTTTTAACGTTCTCGATCGTGTAAAAGTTAACTCGAATTTGTATGCAGTTGGAACAGCGCCCCTAGCGGCAAACGTACGCAAACCTTTCAACTCAACATACGAGTTAACTTTTACCCTATCGAGAACGTTAAATAACTCGCACTAATCGCACAGATGATCGAATCGATGGTATTGCCCGAAATCATACATCTGTGTTCTTGTCTTTAGTAAATGACGTTAGTACGATTCAGGGTTCTGTCGGATTTTCCTCTTCTATGATAACTACTGCCACACGATAGGAATGCGATGCTGCCTCGAGCTAATACTAAGCTATCATTCATCCGAGATGAAGGTATCTACAAATCCTTTCCCAAGCCAAATTACTGATGGTAGGGCGTCATGGGTAGATACCGCCACCCTGCCTATTTCTGTCGTGAAGCAGTTATGCGTTTATGTATTAAGGTTAAGGCAGTCGTGGTATTGTAAAACTGAAACTTAGAACTCACGTTTCAAAGTGAGTAGCGGCATTTATGCTGTTGATGCCTATGGGCTCTGATGACAACATAAGACCAGGTGGGTCGTGAGCTCGTCGACTCATCTAAGCAATATAAAAAACATCCTAAATTTGACACTTGCAAGTCTTAGATATTGAGACAGCAAGTAGTTCTAGAAAAAAATGTTTTCGTTCTTTTTACTAGTTTAAATGGTCAGTCACTCTTAGAACGATTAGTTTTGAATGCCGAGTGAGGCAACTGTAGACACCCCAAAACTGAATATCGGAGATTATGAGGTTGAAATCTGGATAGCCTTAGATAATTGTGCTATTTAATGTTTTTGGGACTGAGAAAAAGATAGCATTGTGGAATAAATCCGAAACCGTTGATACACTTTTAGATCCTCACACACTCGAGATTCTCATGTACAAATTGATTAACAACATTCACAAATTTTCCCTTTAAGTACCGGCAGCGTGTTTTAGTTTTTTAAGGCCATTTTTTATTTTTCTTTCTCGGTGCACCCGTTGCCTCACTTCGAACGCCAACAGATGGCGCTTATCGTAGACAGAATCAAGAAAACGAAGTTGCAACAGGTTATCTATGAAAGGTTTTTTTTATTTTTTATTGCTTAGTAGGGTGGAAGAGCTCACAGCCCACCTGGTGTTAAGTAGTTACCGGAGCCCATAGACATCTACAACGAAAATGCCGCCACCTATCTTGAGATATAAGTTCTAAAGTCTCAGTATAGTTACAACGGCTGCCCCAGCCTTCAAACCGAAACGCATTGCTGCTTCACGGCAGAAACAGGCAGGATAGTGGTACCTATTCGCGCGGACTCACAAGAGATCCTACCACCAGTAATATAAGATAGTTGCAGAAATACGCGGTGGTACCGACTCATACTGATACTCAACTAAGCCTAATAAATGAAATAATATTGAGGGGTGATAGACTGTTTAGTTTAAGTGACATTTCTCTTAATACGCGACATTTATGTTTGTAATTAAAGATACGTTTTATTTGGTATTAGCATCAACAGTTCGATAATTTCAATTGAACTTCAATTAAGTTTACTCCATTCAAATGGCTGAAGAAGTTTTGTTGTTTTGATATTTTTTCCAAATTTTAAACGTTAAAGGGATCTCCTGTAAAGTTGCGAAAATGTCGCTAAAACCAAATTGCTTATTATATATATAATAAGACTAGCTTTAGCCGACCGCTTCGCTGGGCATTTAAAATTAACATTATTATTTCTCACCCCCCACAAACATTCTCATCATTAACGCCCCCGCAACTGGTGTAGGGAATCCAACACTCATATAAATATTAGCCTATCCATGAAGTACATGTATTTTCTACATGGATACCAAGTTTCAAGTCAATCGGATGCATGGTTCAGTAGTTATAACGGAACATCCGTAAAAACCACTGTAGATTTATATATTAGTATAGATATTTAAACGTATATAAGTATTTATATCAGTCTCTAGTACCTATAACTCAGGGAATTCTAAGTTGGGTTCGGACGGCGGTATGTAAATTGTTCTCAGTTGTATTAATTATGTTCGATTGTTAATAATGAAGCGACTAACAATTGACACTTCTACATAATTATATCATAGTGTTCACGATTTTCTAAGACTTGGGCTCCAACTCTCCTTGAGTATGTTGGCAAATATAATAATAATAATAATAATAATAGCCTTTTTATTCCTAAACATAGGGTTACAAGAGGTCCCTAAGTTCGGTGTGCCTTTTGGCATAGGCCTCCTCCAATTCCTTCCAATGGGTCCTATCCCTTGCTACTCTCAGCCAGAATGGTCCCGCTGTCTGCTTCAAGTCATCTTCCCATCTCCTGATTTGACGACCCCTACTTCGTTTGCCGTCTCTTGGTTGCCAGAGGGTGACTTGCTTGCTCCATTTGTTAGTGGGGTGGCGTAGCATATGCCCAGCCCATCTCCATTTTTGGACGTCTATCCGGGTGAGAATGTCTGTGAGTTTCGTTCTTGTTCTTATGTCTACGTTCCTAACTTTATCTTTGATTTTTAACCCTAGCATGCTTCTTTCCATGGCACGTTGGCATTTTATTAGCTTTTCCCTGTGGTTAAGTGTCAATGACCAAGTTTCGCAGCCATAAGTAACATGTTGGCAAATATAGTACTTTATATATTAGTATAGATCAGGGGTGGGCAAATATTCTGATAGTAGGGCCACATTGCAGATGAATATTTGACCTCGGGTCAAACAGTTTTTTTTTTCTAATTTTATATTGTGCGACTATTATACATACTGTAATTGTTCAATTATCATAATTATATTTTCGAATAGGAGGCGCTGAAAAGAGCGGTTGTCCGGGAGAAAATTTTGGCTCCCACCGGCTCTGATTACATGTATCACTATTGCTTAATATTTTATCTAAATTTTAGTTAGACAAAAACTAATATTTGTGTTTTTAATAATAATACATATATACAATGCTTCACGGGCCAGACAAAATTCTACCGCGGGCCGCCATTTGCCCAGGACTGGTATAGATGCTATTTACCTGGTTCCAACTGGTGCGAGTCCAGAGGCTTATCGAGCAGCATGTCCCCGAAAATCTCTCTACAGTAGTTGGCTATCTTCGCCTGCTGGCGCGGGTTGCAGTGGTTCTCGAAACTCAAAATAACCGGAAAATCGGAAGTCTTGAAGGCGCTCTCCGCTATCGCCTCCAACACTTCCCTGGCGCTTATCTCCGGCACGAACGTGTAACCGTGAACGATGACCGGCTCTTCGGTTCGACCATTCCAGAAGTCCAACTCCACGCATCTGGTTCAAACATCATAAATTGGGCTTATACCACCAAACCAATATAAAAACCAACGCCTTCAACCAGAGACTTTTACTGGTGGTAGGAGCTCTTGTGAGTCCGCGCGGGGAGATACCACCACCCTGCCTATTTCTGCCGTGAAGCAGTAATGCGTTTCGGTTTGAAGGGTGGGGCAGGCGTTGTAACTATACTTGAGCTTAGAACTTATATCTCAAGGTGGGTGGCGCATTTAGGTCGTGGATGTCTATGGGCTCCAGTAAACTCTTAAAACCACGTGGGCTGTGAGCTCGTCCACTTTAATTTTAATCTCTTGAACTCAGTTCAGAATCCGAACCCTAATATTTTGAACAATGCAAGAAAATTTCGAAATAACAGAAAAGGAAGAATATTTTAAACATTTTTAGTCCACATAAAAACGTTATAGGTATGCTTTTATTAAATATTTATTACGTTACATTCAAAATGTGTTTTGACCAGGAAATAATTATAAATAAATACGTAGTATTTTTTACGTTTTGTCGAATCATGCTGATCGTCTCCGTCCAAGAAAACCGGAAAATGTTAAGATCGATCCCATCTAACCCCTATTTTTTGGTTGTCTGTCTCTCTTTTTTTGGTTGTCTATTTATTAGGCCAGGCTTATTTAAATACCTACAATTTTGAGGTCTAAAATAAAAATTAGGCACAGTAAAAAGGTAATTGCAATGTTTTCAACTTTTCGCAAATCAGCAATGCAACTTGAAATTTCGGTACAAATTTTTCATAGAATATGTTACACTGAACTGATACTAAGAATAAAAATGACAGTGGAAATTGTCCTGTCAATCACTGACCTCTTGATACCTACCGCTAACCTATGAACTCTTTCGACCAGATCCACAAACCCAGACCGAACATTCCGAATCAATATTTAATCATAGCCGTTTTCAGTTTTTTTTTAAACACAAAAACTCGGCTCGGTTATAACGCGGCGAATGATTTACGATCGGACGTTTCGTACCTAATCGATTTCACGGAAGAGCGAAGGTTGCGGTCGTTACAAACTGTTCCCCCGTTACGAAAAAAAAAACATCTCTATTAATCTACCGTCTTATTAATTTTAAATATTAACCAATTCCTATCGTCAACCAATATGCAGATTTTCTTTTGCTTTGTTAAGGTCTAAGACCAGCTTCCAGATGAAGTTCTTACAGATACCCAAAACATAAACATAAAACATTTTTTTACTGGTAGTAGAACCTCTTGAGTCCGCGCGGGTAGGTACCACCACCCTGCCTATTTCTGCCGTAAAGCAGTAATGCGTTTCGGTTTGAAGGGTGGGGCAGCCATTATAACTAACTATACTTGAGAGTTGAGACCTTAGAGCTTATATCTCAAGGTGGGTGGCGCATTTACGTTGTAGACGTCTATGAGTCTAGTAACCACTTAACACCAGCTGTCAGCTCGTCCACCCATCTAAGAAATAAAAAAACATACGTTTGATTTTGGACTCTAAATAAGCGAGAACTTGCAAGTGCATTAATTAGCTAGTCGGTCAACTAATAATCGAAATGTCGGAAAGAGAGATAATCGTGGAATCGACTCGAAGTTGTAATAGTGATTCCTATTCAACTCGATTTGCGAAGAATATCATCAAAACACATCGTGGTATTTTTAATGTGGAAATGTTTCACCATTTCAGATTATACCATCGCTATATCTCATTAATCAATTAACCAACTCAATAATTGTAAAAACCATTAAAATATAGTCATATTTCCAATAAACTAATGTGCATTTTCATTGTTTAACCAGGCCATTACGATGGGCGATATAATAACGATAAAACAAACATTCGATAGCGCGCTAATTGGATTAACTATTAAAACCTCATCGACTGTATGGAGATTTTTTTCATAAACAAATTAATAGGCGCCGTAATGAATGCGTTTGTAAATAATAATAAAACCGATATCGGGACCTGATACAGTTTTTTTTAATGGTAATTTTTTTAAATAAAAAAAGCTTTTCATATATCAATTATATTTTATCAACATAGATCATTTATGGACCACTTTCAGAATTTATCAATTGTTATTCCAAAACGATTTTTTCCCTACCTATTTGCTGGTAGCCTAAAGAGCTATTCCAAATGCGCGTGGATGGGGAAGTTAGCTCACGGGCTCAACCTGAGAGAATTGGCTAACATTGGCCCTAGCAAGAGCAGTGCTTCTCGGAATCTACCACTGCATTGGAATCGCCACAAACGGTAAAGAAACTCAGTGGAAAAATGAAAAGTGACGGGAGGAGTGCAGAAAGGAGACGGCAGGATAATCTCAAACGTTTATTCTGACCATGGAACAAATCATAATTAATTTTAATTTATTTTTAAATTGCGTGCGACACAAGCGATGACTACCTTCAAATTCATGTAAATAACCTACCTACTGTAAATAAGTACCGTCATCAAGCATAAACCTGAAAACATGTCGGCAAACTACTACAATAAGCACTTCAAAAACCCAACCAATAATAACTATAATTCGATTAGAGATAAGAATGAAATTTGTACAAACCTGCACCCGGCTAGCAAGCTCTGCCTGTATATCTCGACGCTAGACTTGCCAGTTATCTGATGGCCGGTTAGATACGTGTTGTGGGAGCTGTTGATGAAATAATGAGCTAATGGCTGATCCATGTCGTCGCACAAATCCAACTTGTTTGGTGCCACTATAGGATTGTCTTCAGACATTAGGAACCTGAAAACCAAAGTGATGTAAACTGAGGGTAAATATACATTTTGTTAGATCGCTTCCAACATTTAAACTGTAACGGTAAAGCCGACTTAAATTAAATAAAGATGACCCTGCTGATTGTTTTTTATTAAAGATTTTGGGTCCGTTCTGTCTGTCTATGGAATGGAACCTAAAACTACACGTGCAACGCGAATTTTTTTCCTATCTATGCTGATGGCCTCGAAAGGCTATTTCAGCTTTACCCTACCGTGTAGGTGAGCTCTGGGGGCTCAAACCGGAGTTATTACTAATAGGCTAGCAAGAGCAGTGCTTCGCAGAATCTACTACTGGATCGGAAATGCGAACCACTGAGAAGATCCAGCGAGAAACTGAGTGGGCTGCGTCTATGGGTTAATGCGACGTGTCTATGGGTTAAATTAACAAAATTACAATTAGTTCTATGTAGTTAATTTATTTTATAAGAGCTATATTTGCTGATATAAAACATAATATATTTATGTTTTCCTTTATCCTTCTTTGCTAATTAGAAGGGGGGTCGCGGAAGAGTTTTTTGGTGTTTCATTTTAGTCAACAATTTACAATCTTCCACATTCCCGGCACTCTCTTTAGGAATTTTACAACTTGGACATCAGAATAGGAGGGAATTAGTTAAAATGTCACAATTCCACTACTGCAAATAGATGATGAATGAGTACTAGCACCACCACATAGCCGGATTCGCACACCCATCTTCTAAATAAGATTCGAAAAAGCTATTAATACAAGACATTATTTTTTATTGCCTTTGTATGCAGACGAGCTTACGGCCCACCTGATGGTAAGTGGTTACCGTCGCCCATGGACGAACTCTTTTAAACTCTTTTACTAATACAAACTATTTCCTAAATTAGTATTTTGAATAATTTACCTGAGGAATCCATCGAAGGTTAGCTGCGATCTTTGCTGATGATACTTATTGTGTTCGTAAGCTTTTATGAGGTCTTTCGCTCGCTGGAGATCAGCGTACGGATGCAATATCTCATTGAGACGTGGATCCCTTTGCACGTCGTTTAAAAAGTCTACTAATTGAGTCGCTGATAGATAAGGTTTTCCGTCCGTTCTGAAAGAAAAGAAAAAAGTCAAAGAACTAATAATAGGACAACCTTTTTTCAATTTGTCATCTTGACAACGGCCATACGGAGCTCTGCCTCGGTGCTGAACAGAGCTGACGAGACTAACTCGACGGTTTTTTTAAGTCATATAAAATGTCGAATATTTTTTGCTTTGAATTACGGACATCGACTGCAATGATAATCTCATCGACCTTAATAAAGTTTTAGAAATACTTAGGTACTAGTTTCCGAATAAAGAAAGATAAATCATTGATCTGTTGATTATCATATAGATGATCAGTACAGTTAATGCAACATCATCCATGCCCAGTGCAAATGACAAAATCTCATTTGATTGATTGAGAACCGTAAACAACATGTAGTTTTCCGATTCGAATACATTCCTCACTGAAGTTTTCCATCTCTATTTTATCTCTATATATAAAAATGAATTGCTGTTCGTTAGTCTCGCTAAAACTCGAGAACGGCTAGACCGATTTGGCTAACTTTGGTCTTGAATTATTTGTGGAAGTCCAGAGAAGGTTTAAAAGGTAGATAAATATGAAAATGCTTGGAATTAAATAGAAATAAACAATTTTCTTTTTCCTTTGATGTGTTCCCCGTCGGACAGATTCCTTTTGTTTGTTTTAAGTTTATTTTATACAAATGTTCAGATCTTTTATTTATCGATTGAGGCACTACGAAGTCTGCCGCGTCAGCTAGTTTTTAATAAAATTAATTAAGCGAAGTTTTATAACTAGAAAACTTGTTAACGACAAAATGTTCAGACTCAAAGAGAACACTTTTTAACTAACAAAGTTCTTGGTCGAAAGTTATCCCCTGTTGAACTGCCGATAATGCTGTTCTTTAGTTATCGTGAGAAAAAGAAAAGCAAGACACGAAGCGTATTTTTCAATAACAAAATCCGAACTATTTGGAACTCTAGGGACGGAAAATTTAAAGAGAAAGTTTTTTATGTGAACATTATAAGGTTGGATTCACATTCTAGTCTATTCAATGCAAATTTGTTATTTTATTTTCGGATCACGGACCTTTTGTGTTATGTTACAAGGCAGACACACTATAATCTTTTAATGCCTCCATTGCTTTAGTCACTAGAATCCCTGATTACGATTAGGTACAGGTAACAGCTTTACGTTGGATGTACTGTTAACACCACTTTTTTTTCCTACCTATTGGCTGGTAGCCTAAGGGCTTATTCCAGATAAGCGCGGTCGGGTAAATGAGAGAGAATTTGCTGACACTAGCCTTAGCAAGAGTCTAATTGTAGGTTCTACCACCGGATCACCGCAATCGCGACCCACTGAGAAGATCCGGCGAGCAACTCAGTGGGATGTGCCTATGGGTTAATTCGCTCGTCGAACTTTTCGTCGTAATCGGTGAGTTCGACGAGGATGGTGACCGGTGCGTGAGGGTCCTATTAGCCCCGAGAGTGAATCCGGGGGATCCGACTAGACATATTTCGGCTTTGCGTTGCCCCGTCGCGATCGGATAAGTAACAAACGGCCGCCACGATATCCTGCAGAAATGGGATTGGATGACTTGGAGAGACTTAAAGCGTGTACGGGCTGCGTGAGCGAACACTACTACACTTGCATAGGTCATGACAAAACGTATGAAAGTTTTGTAGAGCGTCACCTTGTTACGAAAGGTCACCTTGTCATCCCTCTGTCGAGAGTGACGCCTGAGTATTTAGCCTTCGAAGCCACGGTGTGGGCTGGCTGGCCAAAGATTTTAATTTCGGGAATGGAATTACTGCGCTATTTGGTGACCAGATACTAACAATAGTGTCAGAAGAACTAGCTCCACTCAGGTTCACCCTTATCTATGTCATAAATAAAAATAATAATACAGAAGGAAATGCTTGCTTGGGTCCACTGATTGTGGAAAGCAAAACTTTTAGTTTATCTTGGAGCCAACTTGAAGATGTCTTAATTTCACTTGTATAAATAATTACTTTTGCGCGCGGAAAGAAACAAGTACCACCGTCTTCCGTGCACATTCACAGCGCTGTTTACAGTAGGTCTCATTTTGTAGCATTTTGTTTGCTGCAAACAGCTTACGACCCAGCTTGAGAGATGCAAGACGATGAAGTTTCTATTTATAATATAGGTATATGTAGCTGTCCCCTCCTTCAAACCGAAATAGGCAGTAACGTGCTATCTACAGGTATCGTCGCATTACTCAAAGTACCCCATGTCTTATCCATTAACGCACGGATGCTTCAGATGTGTAATGTTTTGCTGCAAGTATAAATGAAAAACGTTACGAAAACAATTTTTTTTTTATGATTGATGGATTACTGGTGGCCGGAGCCCTTTCCAGTTTCACCAGGACAGGTGGGTGAACAGAAGCTCAGCCAGGAGGGGTGGGATTTGCTAAAATCTGATCGAGCGCCTCCGAAGGAGACCTAACAACTCAAGAGCAACAGCTTCGCGAATGAATCTACTACCGGATCGGAATCGCGACCCGCTGAGAAGATCCGGCGAGAAACTCAGCGGGCTGATGCGTGGGTTAGGTTGCACGTCGACCTCGAGTTCGACGAGTACAGTTACCGGGGTCCCTAAGCCTGCTCCTAGTGTTAGAGCTGAAGGCGTCTAATGCAAAGGTTATTGGATCTGATAGATCCGTAAGGACGTGGCAAAAAAATTTATCCCAAAATTGGATGCAGAGTAACACCAGACAGTTACAACAACCTGACCGTGACGACGAACAAAGAACGTTGCTCGAATTAAAAAAATAAAGTTACACGAACCGTAATTGCGATTTATTAGAGAGTCAAAACGATGATTAAGTGGTCTCGACCTCTCGGCACTACATCAATTAAAACAATTCATTCGAGCATATTATTTAACCCCGGTACGGCTTCTGAATTGTTATCAAGTGCGGTCATAACACCCGAGCGGCATCAAATGGCTAATTCGTTTACGTTTTAAAGGAGACCGATAGGTTAAGGCGCTGATTGATTTTGAAATTAATATCTGTTGTTAATCTAATGTACATCATATGTAACACGTGATGGTTGGTCATATATTGTACATATTAATATTGAGAGCTTTAAGTGAATCAGATGAAATCTACTTAAAAGGTGTACTTAAGTCGTGCAAATTAATTAGAACAAAACAAGAAGCAAAAGTGTTTCACAAAGAGATCGACTCTGATCGGGATTCTAAGCCAGACCTCTAAAAAAAAACTAACAAATTTATGAATAAAACAACACTAGTTATTCACTACACAATTAAATTATGCAACAACTCACCAAGTTAAGTAACTAACATATCGGTAAAACATAATTAATATTGAAAGGCAAACACTGACTCCGTACACTCTGTTCGTTTATTTACTTCGAAAATCTATTCTGAGACTGAGGTCCTAAATAAACTTGAAGAGCTTGGTTGGTTTGGTTTTGCGGACCCTATGGAGCCTCTGGGGGCTAACGGCGATATATTTAGTACCCCCTGGTAAATTATGAAATTTTCAAATTCAAAATTTTCACGTCCATATCACACCCGGTACTGGGCATAGTCCTAACTAAGCAGATGAGTTTAATGTCGACCTGGTGTACCGCCTTCTTTTAACCCTTTCACTGCGGCAGGCTTCGCTGCAGAGGTTCGCAGGAAACGGAGCTTCGTACTAAAAGTGCGCACATGACCCATCGTGTACAGGCGATGATTTTCAGCCGGTTACTATAGTCACTCAGCATGTACACGCGGCGTTTAGTGGTAGGCGACTTTAGTCCCCGACATTAGCGAAAGGGTTAACAGAATGCCACCGATATAGTTGGAATAGAGATTGGTCAAAATTTTCAAGAACTTTTCAACTCTATACAAAGCTAGTAAAAACTTACAGTCCGTTAAATATCTTCTGTACTTCGGTTCTCTGCGTGAGACTCTTGTAGAAAGCAAAGAAGTCTTCGAACTGGAACTTGGACTGGCTGATGGTATCGTTCTTGCCCGTCGGAAGACCAGACTCACTGAGCGCTTTCTCCACACGCTTCTTGTCTTCCTTGTTCTGCGCGAATTGGCGGACAATGCTGCAAAAAATTGGGTATCTTACAAAACTTCGAAAGAAAAAAAAGCACTGTTTCTAATTTATTGTTTTTGAATAACAGACGAAGCCACTGGTCGCCTGGTATTACAAGACGAACGAAACTGTATTTGTATGCGAACTAGTATAATAAGTTTGGGCATAACATAATAAATCGTCGTGGCCTAAATAAATTAAGTCGTCGTGGCCTAAAGGATAAGACGTCCGGTGCATTCGTATGTAGCGATGCACCGGTGTTCGAATCCCGCTGGCGGGTACCAATTTTTCTAATGAAATACGTACTCAACAAATTGTTCACGATTGGCTTCCACGGTGAAGGAATAACATCGTGTAATAAAAATCAAACCCGCAAAATTATAATTTGCGTAATCACTGGTGGTAGGACCTCTTGTGAGTCCGCACGGGTAGGTAGGTACCACCGCCCCGCCTATTTCTGCCGTGAAGCAGTAATGCGTTTCGGTTTGAAGGGCGGGGCAGCCGTTGTAACTATACTGAGACCTTAGAACTTATATCTCAAGGTGGGTGGCGCATTTACGTCGTAGATGTCTATGGGCTCCAGTAACCACTTAATATCAGGTGGGCTGTGAGCTCGTCCAAAAACTTCGTTCCTACCCGGTGTCCTACGACACCACGAATATTTTTTTAGTACTTAAATAAAAGTTAGCCCCTTATTATATATATTTGTGTTAGACTTTGAACACAACCGACCTCATGCAAGTTACGTTCACACCCAAAATACTGTATCAATTTTTTCTATTTTAGCTAAATGTTAACATGGATTTTATCCAGTGTGAATCTAATATAAGAAAAAGAAATAAATAAAATGATTAGAACAAACAATGAAATAATAATAAGCACGTAACTCAACTTAAGCACGATCAAATTCGATTAGACCTCGCTTATAAATAAAATCTAATACACATTTCCAGATAACCTAATTCCGAGCTAAATGCGACGGGAAATTGAAAGACGGCCTAATGGCTGGGACAATCTAAATATACCTCTTTTATTTCCAGACATGCCTGCCGTACCCTTTAGAATCAATAAAAGGTCGTGTAGAAATTTAGGTGCTTAGTTTTTTTCTTATCCCTTTTTTCATGGGCTGACTAGTGGTATTAAGTAGTCGCCTGAACCCCTAGCCAACACAACGTGAAGGCCACACCACACAGCTTATGACGCAATTTTCAAAAGAATGATCAAAAGAAGTTTCAATTGCGTTCTATGACGACTATATAAGTGTGACAATAACAGGTAGGATGATAGGACTAAGCCATGTAAGCTTATAATATGACCTATACATCGTAAATGTCAATTGGCGATAAAAGTATACTAAATCCAGTTATCCAGTGAATCGCTCTGTTACCCTCTATACGATTACCTAAAACAATTATATTTTTTTCTATACGAGGGGAGCACTTCTTTCTGTGACGCAGATTTGCAAGCACAGATGCAATTTAACACATGCTAATATAGCAAATGGTAATAATTACGGGTCGCATAGAGGGCAAGCGCGCCGTGTGCAGAACACCAGCCAGATCGTCAGATCTAGCAAGAGAAGCACTCGGTGGTAGTCTGTACCACGCAGTCCATGCCACCCATGATCGAGCACAGTGGAAGAACGTCACATGTTGTCGCGATCCTCAGTAGTGAGGGAACGATATAGAAGAAGAACACATTATTGCTTTACGACAAAAATAGGAGAGTGGCGATATCGATCCAGACTCGCAACTCTCCCCGCCATTAGTAGATGATCTATGGCGAATAACGCAGTTTACATTCGCATGGAAACAAACTGTTTCATGCATTCGGATAACGGCTACACTCCGAAAAAGAAATACAGGTAGTAAATTGCGCACAACAAATTGAACAACAAAACAATTTTGTTTTTACGAAGAGGCCCTACATCGAAATAAACTGTTTTAAAAATAATAAAAAAATTAGTAAGCGGCTGTTTCAATAAAACGAAAATATGTTTGAACAACACAATTAAATGTACAATGAGAATGTTTGTAGTAGTAGTTCTGTATTGGCTTCAGAAAACCAGTATATTGGACAATCGGTGTCTACCGTTAGATTGACATGTACAAAGAGTAAAAAAAAAATAGACTGGCGTCGTGGAAATACTTAATACATAGATTTCATGTTAGATAAATTAAATAAGTCGACATACATTTTTTTTATAATAATATAATTATTTATTTATGTTCTCTCTTAAAAATACAAATGGAAATTAACCTTATTTTTTTTATTTATTTTTTGTAGGCCTTTGAATGAGCTGAATTCTATACTAGGTTCAAATTACTGATCTAGTTTTTAATTAGCTAATACCGACAAATAATCACGCGGTTTAAAATATTCAAAGTACACCCGTATTCCGTATATATCCAGCTAAAACATAACCCATATTATCGATAAGCTATCTGCGTAAAAAAAATCTTTACAACACATACATTAATTATATTTTAATTAACTACCAAAACATAGCTTACGCGTTCTTGAATGTTCAACGCGAAGCACGCGGATGCGGACACTTTTTTTTTTCTTTATGTTTTTTTTTTTCTTCCCTATGCTGATAGCCTTGAGAGGCTATTTCAGCTTCACCCTAACGTTTGTAGGTGAGCTCCCGGGGCTCAACCGGAGAGTTGCTAATACTGACCCTAACAAGAGTAGTACTTCGCAGAATCTACCACCGGATCGGAAACGCGACCCACTGAGAAGATCCGGCGAGAAACTCAGTGGGCTAGGATGCGGACACGCCACGTGGACTTAGAGCAGGGAGCAATCAAAATATTGACTGTTAAATAGATACTAGTGGTCCCCTGGTAGTCGAAATTCGACTATAATTAATTGAAATTTTTAGTTTGTACACTATTATGATTATATCGTCAAAGACTATTTATTATACTACTATAAGAACAGATTTTGCCAAGACTAATATTAATAAAGACAAACAATATTTAATCTATTCTCAATTTGACCACAGACTATAAGCAATAACAAAAGTTTGACAATAAGCAAATTAATAGTATGCATGCGTGTGTGTGTCATATACATGGTAGTGTGTGTAATGTTTTTTTTATTTAAAGTATTTTTTATGAATAATTAAAAAAAAAAAAAACAGTCTGCACTCCTTCTCTATAATCTCTATAAGTGTGGGAAATTTCATAACCCTCCGTCCGCGCCATTTTCGTAAAAAGTGGTAAAAAGTTTTTGCTCGACGTATTAATCTATACATATAAATAAAATTGGAGTGTGTGTTTGTAATATTGAACTAACCGCTTTTACTACATGCATATGAATATATATACGGTACATACACCAAAATAACATTTGTTACAATTTTCGTATGTCTGTCTGTTTGTTCCGGCAAATCTCTGGAACGGCTGGACCGATTTTGACGAGACTTTCACTGATAAGTAGCTTATATCATAGGAGTAACATAAGCTACGTTTTAGAGACTAGCCTTGCCCCGCGGCGTCACTCGCGGTACGACAATAACCGCGGCTAACATCGCGGGACTGTGCTATCAATAATAAAATTTAATGTTTCCAAAGCGAAGCGAGGGCGGCACGCTAGTATATAGATAACTATTATTGCAGTGTAATTACTGAACAAGGCAGAAAGGTATCTCACACCTTTTTTTTTCCTACCTAAGCTGATAGCCTTGAGAGGCTATTTCAGCGGAACCTTAACTAGTACGTGAGCTCACGGGGCTCAAACCTGACGACATCTCACACCAACGCGAGTGTCACAATGAGCGTTCTAGTTTGGACGTACTACTGTAAGCAATAAGCAATAAGATCGACGCTGACAAATGCCACTTCTACCTCTATCACTAATACAACGCATTCTCTTAATTTGTCGTTGTATGTATAGTATGTTATTGTTAATTAGCAGCTGTTTTAATAGAATTTAGGTGAAGCACAGCATTTATAAGACGTTTTGTGTCTCTCCAGTGACCGTATTACAATTTACGAAATTCCTGTAATCCTCAACATTTAAACACAGTTTTACACTGTGACAAAAATAGGAGTTTAGGACTGTTTCTACTGCGAAGTAGTGAATTTCAAGATCATTTTTAACTTGTATTGTTCTTTTTAAATATGTAGGTAATAATCTTTATGTAATTCCATTTTTACGGAACGAGAATGCAACCCGAATATGTCAATTTAATTATAATGCAATTTAGTAAATTTATTTTAGCTAACTTATAATTTCGAAACCTCTTTGATTTTTACATAATAATATTGGGAATGACGAAATAGCGGGTCATATTATCTTCAGGACTTAATTCAATTTTCAGAATTCATACAGTACCGACCTTCCATACACATGCTCTATCGATACTAAGCCCATTAAGTACCTTTTTTTTTCGGGCCGGGAGCCGAACCTCCTACGAGGTCTCCGCGCCTAGTGGGCGCGCGGGGTATGTGGGACTCAACGGCCTGCAAGGTGTTGTGAGCAGACCGCGGGCCCAAAGAATTTTAGGGCCCACCCACTATACGACTCCCCTGCACTCTTACACCCGACGTCCGTTCCCCTTCGAGGCCAGAACCCGGATGAGGTAGGGGGGTTACCGCGATCAACACTACAACCAGACGGCGTGGCTCACCCCAAGGACGTCCAGCCGACGAAGCCTTCGAGGCGAATCGAAGGCTCAGAAACGTCGGCCGTCTCGGTACGGCAGCCCGTCAGGCCGCCCAGACGGTGCCGCTGGTGTCCCGGAATACCCCGTTGGAACAGAACCAGCCTGCCGGGTCGGGACGCGATACACCACCAACCGGTTGCTCTTTCGAATCTCTTTGGCAGCGCGCTAGTGTCAGCAGTAGCGCGGCGCGCGGCCTCTACCCCCTCAGGTCGCCCCTTACCTTCACCGGGGGAAGCCGCTACCTAAAGCCCTTCTGTACCTGTACTGTAAAAACTGAGACCTAAGAACTCATGTCCCGAGGAGGGTAGCGGCACTTACGTCGTAGCGGGTCTATGCGC